TAAAGATCAGTGATGGAGAAAATAGTCTGTGTGTGTTGTAGACTTTTGAAGCACTGCAATTGTCCAATTTCATTTGCTGTTATTTGTGGAGGTTTGTGGGGAACTCTTGGTGATTTCAGATAACCTTAGAACTGCCTGCTGGCCATTGTCCCCACTTTCTTCTACACCTGTATTAGAATTATATTTGAAGGACAAGTCATTATTTCCATTACTTTATAATACTGTTCAAACAAATAAATTGACTATTATATTCAGGCATCAGACAATCATTACACTGGTTTTCCCATTAATGAGAATGGTTTATGCAACCCTGGTCCACAGAGTAACATGCATTTTATATTCTCATGCAGACTACAAAAAGGAAAGGAGATACCTCAACTTTATCGATAACAAATACAACACATTGACCCACAAAACGGTTTACCAAACAACGGCTGTGAAGTCCCACATGGATCTGGAAATATAATTCAGAAACTATACTGTTAACAATGAGTGTGAATTATTTTTATTGTAAACTGGTTAATAACAACACAAATATGAACATTTGGGGTTTTTTAAAAAAAAATCATTCGTCTATAGAGCACTGTTTGTTTTTGTTTTTGTATTTTAGCTCTCTATGCTTTCCAACATAGATATAAAATCTGGGGAAAGATTTGTTGGAAATTTAAGTGAAAATGTGGAAATTTTAACAAGGGTTGCAATTGGCCCCTAAGCCAAACTTTAAGTGTCCAGTTCCAAGATGACAAAGGTGCAAGACACCACCAAAAAAGAGGTGGTAATCCTGGATAATCCTGGCTGCCCTTTCAGAAGTCTAGAGTATTCATTCATCTCAGCCTTATCTTATTAGGGAACTATAAGCCTCCAGACAAATTTAAACAGGTAAAAGACATAAACTCAGTCCAGGTGATAAATGAATTATCTGTCTCATATATGTACATGAAGGAACTGATTTTATCTAGCTTGGAAAACCACAGGAAGGACCCTTCTAATTGTTTAGCAATATTTGTTCTTAGAAGTTTGTGTAAATAGTAGGGCTGTACAAAGAATTGCAAAAGGGTTATAAATCGTATTTTGTTGCATCAGTATTTATGACCCCCAGAGCCACCCCCAGTGAACAAACAAATCAAAACACCCACCTCTGAATTTTTATAAAGAAGTTTATTGGCTTCATATGTTGCTTTTCTCTCCATCCGCCTCCCTTTTCCTCCCTGTGTCCTTGCAGCAGTAGCAGAACTGCTCTACCCCCCCCCCCCCATTTGCCTCCAGCTCATGACGAACCACAAGCCTGGCGGAGGAGGAAGTCCCAGTGAGAGCCAGAAGCAGGCCTTGCACTTGGACTGGGGCAAGCTGCGCACCTGATGGGGAGGGCCTACTGCCTTCAGCGAGGACTCCTCTTTCGCCAGGTGTGTGGCTCACTGCAATGGGAGAGGCTGACTGAGAATGGGGGGGGGAGAGGGGCCTCCCTTTCTGCCAGGTGAGGACAGGGCCTGCTTGGGTAAGGCCGACACTCTCATGCCAAAGACCCCTGTGAGATGTGCAGCTTGGCCCAGTGCAGGGCAGAGCCTGCTCATGTAAAACTGGGCCACCCCAAGCCCTGTGAGGCTTCCTCCACCACCAGGTATCTTGTGTATTTCTAAATAACAAAAGAAAAAAATAACGAATTTCTCATCACTTCATATTAGAGATAACCTTGACCCCTTATGAATTTTTCAAAACACTTTAGAATCAAAATGAAGGGTGCACAAATTTCATAAATACACACGAAGCAGATTTTTGGAGTCATAAACACCTCTAGTAAATAGGGGGCTGTGGGGAAGTGGAAACCTTCATCGTACATTTGATACAGTTTTATATATTTAAGAATTGATACAGTACACAATCAATACAAGTTACACAAGAAATGTAATTTTAATACATTTATTAAAGGATTTAGCTATAATATAGTTTGGTATATGGTTGCTGCTGGGCCCTCCTGGAGCCTCCAGCAGCTTTGACATTAAAAAAAACAAAAAGGAAAAATCATATATCTCGCTTGAAGTCTCATTAATGTCCACAAATGATTAGGGAGGGGGTGTGTGGCTTGACAACATTTAGTGGGCCAAGCAACAACAAATTGCATGATTTGCTGAGTATGACCAGACACTAAATACAGACTTGCTTATTTGTGTGGTAATTCTTGTTCTTATTTGTATTGTTGCAAATCTATACATGTATGAACCTACCCAGACCTGAGATCATCCAAATATGTCCTCCTCTTAATCCTACCACCACCACCACAAGCACAGCAGATGAGTTGTGTGTGCAAGTGCGATACACCTCCCACAGCCAACCCAAGAAGTACACTCACACAAGGCACAAGGTGTGGGATGAACAATGGCCACAACTCGTTTATTGAAAACAGGAAACAAGGGTTGGCAGCCAAGCATGGGTCCTGGATCATGATCGGGCAGCCCAATACTGCCCGATCCTGCACACTCACCAGGGTGCCGCCGGCACAATACCAGGCAAACGCAACCCGGCACCCCTGGGACCACCGGGTGTCCCCCCCTAACCGCTAGGGGGGGATACCAAACCAGATCCAGGGCCCATGCCCCACGCCAACAAGGAGTTGTGACAAAGAGCATAACACAAACAAGTAAATGTTAACAGGCAACCATGACGAAGTAAACCCAACCCAGGTAAACTTCCAATAAAAAACTTGAACTACATGCAGGGTGGGTGGGATGGATCAGCTGTTGCAGGCTGAGTGCCTGCTGAGAAGCCCGGGGCAGCCTTATGAAGGCTGCCCACGAGGAGGGAGTCTCATTAATGTCCACAAATGATTAGGGAGGGGGTGTGTGGCTTGACAACATTTAGTGGGCCAAGCACTAAATGTGGGCGTGGTCGCTTGGCCATTGGCCCCTTGACCTGCTAGCGGGAAACCTTCCCGCCAACAGAGGGGGCTTCTGGGAAGAAGAAGCCCCCCTTAGGCAAGAATGGCGGTGGGGAACGCCCTGCACCGCAACTTCTTTGGCCCGGTAAGTCTGGCCATGCCTTGAAATGAGACTGCCTTCGTAGTGACTACTCCTTGACTCTAGAACTCTCTTCCTAGGAAGACCAGGATACTTCCTCCCTGGTATCCATCCATTGGCAGACAAACCCCTTTTCAGTCCAACAGGATTTTAAGACAGAGGCATTTAAAAACAGAGTCTGAAAAGTATTATATTATGTTAACTATTTTTGTTTTCTTATATAATAGTCGTCATTCTTTTAAATTGTAATTTTAATTGTTTTTATGCTGTGGATAATGTAATTCTATTTTAACGTTCACTTTTTTGTGTTTGTAATTATATTGATCTTTCAAATTGTAAGCTACTTTGATTCCGAGTTTGGGGAGAAAGGTGGGATAAAAATTAGATGATGATGATGATGAAGTTCCATTTAAGTTAGAAGTTCCATTTATTTTTATAAAACTACCTCTAAATGAGATGGAAATGGGTTGGTGGTGCTAAAAGCTTACCAATTGAGTTTTCAAGCCACAGATACAGATTCTATGGATACAGAGGGCCAACTGTGTATTGGCATTGTTTTCTCTTTTTTTCTGGTTATGGTGGATAATAATTGTGATATCAATGCAGTTATTCTTTGTGTTCTGCTGTGAGACAGAACTCCCAAGGGAACAATACTGTAAAATGTAATAAGGCCAGTGAGCTTGATAAGGAGGCAGATTCTTTGGCATCAGAATATGATTATATCCTTCCAGGAGTGCTTTAAATAATCACAATTGCAGCTCAGGAGTCAGGAAGATGTGGTTGAATGGGACCCTCCAGTCTAAGTACAGCATTTCCTTATTTGAATATTTTGCTGTGTTTCCTCCTGATGCAGCCACTATGCATATATCTTAAGGTAAATTATTCTTGAGCTTTTTTTTGCTTCTAATCATGTCAAAGTGTTAGCGCACTTTAATATGGTAACAATATTGAAGATGTATCCAACTGATGTTCAGCATTTTTAAATTTCATTTTAATTAATATAATGAAGATTATGTAAATTAACAGTGAATAACAATTGCTTTAACTGAGTAAAATAACGCTTTCCCATATTAATGCAATATTAAAAAATGCCATGCAATGCTACAAAATCATCTAGCCAATTAAGTTGAAAGTACAGTTTAACATACTGAAGTTTAGCAGAAAGTTTAAACTGTACTGATCTCACTGAAGATATCAGCTCCTGCTTCAACATCACTGTGAACATTATGCAGTTAAAATATTTAAATCTGGCTAGTTCATGCATTTGTACACCAAAATGTAAAAATTGTGTTTTCAAAGTGTTTTCACATATGTCTGAAATCTACATGTCTTATCTAATAGGACAAACATCTAATATGGTAAGACATTATTGTTATGAATCGTAGGATTTCCTTGCTGAGAAAACTGACACAACTCTTTAATTATGTTAAAGTAATGTTGCCTCATATTTTACAAGTGCTATGTATACAAGCAAGTAGGAGTGCCTCTATACATTTCAGTAATAGTGTCAAATCACATCTATAAAAATAATTAAGGATTGTTACATTCCATTTCCTCCCCAAAGAGTGGTGTCTCAAATAAATTGACAGAAAAGTTGACAAAATGTATTTATTTATTTATTTATTTATTATTTGGAGTATTTATATCCCCGTCCTTCTCAACTGCCTAAGAGGGACTTCAGACAGCTACCAACATGCACTATTCAGTACAAACATAGAACAAACATAGTATAAAATACAGTTAAAGCAAAATTAAGGCAATTATGAATATACATTAAAACAGATATTTGACCTGTATCTTGGTATAAGCTTTGTTCCAGTCTTCATACAAGCCAGCCTTAGATTTTAAAATGTCAGTCTTCTGGCAAGGTGCACAACTTTGAAAATAATGCAGTGGAATTTATCTTTATCATGACTGTATATTGCTAATTGCATACCTTGTTTTAAAACCTATTTCTATTATGATATATCTTTTCTTATATTATCCAGGATGCATGCAAAGAAAATCATTCTACAAAACAGCACAACACCAGCAACATTCATCCTCCTGGGCCTTTCTGGTGACTCTAATCTTCAAAGTGCATTATTCTCTGTTTTCCTTGTCATATATATCATAATTCTGACTGGAAACCTTCTCATCATTCTCCTTACATTGTCTGACCCTTCCCTTCACACACCCATGTATTTCTTCCTAAGAAATTTGTCCTTTTTGGAGATCTGCTATACATCAGTAATTATCCCCAAAATGCTTGAAAACCTCCTGTCTGGGAAAAAAACTATCTCTTTCATTGGTTGTGCTCTGCAGACCTATTTTGCCTTCTTTCTTGGTGGATCAGAATGCTTTATCTTGGCTTCAATGGCCTATGATCGTTATGTTGCCATTTGTAAGCCATTGCACTACTCTGTCCTAATGAGCCCAAAAGTCTACATGTTTCTAGCTGTATCATCTTGGTCAAGTGGATTTTTAATGTCCTTCAGTCACACCAATATGGTGTTTACCCTGCCTTTTTGTGCTTCCAATGTGATCAATCATTTCTGTTGTGATATCCCTCCACTATTGAAACTGGCTTGTGGAGATACTTCTCGGACTGAAATTGCTGTGTTTGCAGTGGCTATAATATTTGTGACTGTTCCTTTTATCCTGATCTTGATGTCCTATGTTGGCATCATCAGCACCATTTTTAAAATTTCATCTGCTGAGAGCCGGAAGAAGACCTTCTCCACTTGCTCTTCTCACCTCATTGTGGTGACTCTGTTTTTTGGTTCTGCATGTATTATATACTTAAAGCCCAATTCCACTTATTCTCCAAACACTGATAAATTTCTTTCACTTTTCTACACTGTTGTGGGTCCTATTCTAAACCCTGCCATTTACAGTTTGAGGAATAAGGAAGTTAAAAATGCATTTATGAAAATCTGGAAAAGAATTAGATTATAAAGGACAATGATCATAATGCATAGGAAATGTAAAATATAGTGATACTTTAAATCTTATGAACCATTGTTTCTCTGTTAAATGTAAATTGAGTTTTTACAGGATTATTCAAGAAAGCTTTGACTGGATCTAATCATACATATTACGAATGCCTTGAAAAATACTGAGCTCATTGAATCGCCACAGTGAAAAAAGAGACCAGACACAAGATGTGGAGAAATAAATGGGCCATTTATTGACCTAATTAGAAACTGTTAATTGAGATAATTGACTAATTGTGGGGAAGCACTGTGACATGGGTAATGGTGTGAGGCCAGGTATCTTTTGGGACCATTTATCAAGCCAACCACTGGATGAAACACCTGACCCCAGGGGCACTCCACATTGACAGTTTGCCGTCCCAGCCAGTCATTACTGGAAGACCGTCCCTGGGAACCTCAATTGCTTCCTTCCGGCTCTTTAGTTGGCTCCTTCTTTCTGGAGGTGCATGCTACAAGCCATTTGGCAATTGAATTTCTAGAAATTAGAAAAGCCTTTATGATGATTTGTAAAACAAAAACCTTTGGATTATTAAAAATAACAGGTATAGTGTGACAGAAATGGAAACTCAGCATTGTGATACTTTTTGGTACTGGTTATTTCTCCTTTACGCAGACTGAGGTAATGTAATAGTTAGGTATGTCCATTCTACCTTCCACTGGTAATATATTGACATCACTCCCTCAAAAAAATTCCTCCTATTTATATTACCATCAATTGCTAATTGACTCAAGTATTCCTACTTTGAAAAAAAAAGTCTCATGCCCATTTTGCTATTGCGTGCCTATCTATTATTTCTGGCTTATCGTGATCCTAAGGTGAACCTGTCATGGGGTTTTCTTGGCAAATTTTTCATAGTGAGTTTACCTTTGCCTCCCTTCAATGCCGAGAGGGTGTGACTTGCTCAAAGTCACCTAGCAGGTTTCCATGTCCAAGCAGGGACTCAAATTTTCTTTTCCAGAATTATAAAATGCTCAAACTACTGCACCATGCTGGTGCTCCATTTGCAAGCTATAATCCACCAAGTTCTCCTCACTGTAACCTCTGTATTTCTCCCAAAACTATAGTCTATTTTACCTCTATGTGAACAGTGTCTTTTATCAACATTTTTAGACATAGGTAGGTAGCAAACCATAATTAGATGAAGGACAAAAAAAGTTTCAATCATAAGTCTACTTCGTTGTTAGAATGACAAGAAAGATGATTAGAATGTGAAAGGCAGACTGGTAGAACAAGTAGTTGGTCCAATAACCTTTTCATTTATTTGAACAAGAATTATTGGACTAGAGGTGTAATTATAGCCATCTGGCAAGGCTAAAATTTAACTCATCCAAGTGGTGCAATCTAGCCAGGAAAGTTGATGATGGATCTTGAAACGTAAGAGTTTCCCAGAGAAGCTTATAAATGTTGGCGCAATCATAGTTCCTTAACAAGGCAGGAAAAAAAATCTCTGCACAAGTTTTTGATTGCAGCAGTCTGAAACAAACAACTAAGCAAACATTTGAGTTTGGGGAATTTATATTAATATGTCTTTAAATAGGGGATAAAGAGGGTTAGATTTCATTTTCCATGACAATTGTGGGAGGAAAAGAAATCCAGAAGGCAATATAAAAGTTGTTTGGATTACTATTCTGCAAGCCTATTGGAAATGATCCTGAATGTCCTGTTGTTCAAGAAAATGTTATGAAAAAGAATGAATACATGCAGGAAGCTTTTGAGGTGGAATTTATGACTCCAGGGATTTTGATTTAAGAGGAAAAGGGATGGGTGGAGATTGGAGAACTCATCCTTTCTGAAGAAACATGAACTGCATTTGCTTTTTGTAAGCCTCAGTGGACTGACCCAAGTCTAGAAATATATCAGATATGAATTTTTGTCAAGTGACTAACATCCCAGCTGTGTATCCTGGTTTTATGTTCCAAGTTTTTTCCATCTTTTTCGCAACTTTATAGCTCTTCTTTCACCTTAGTGACTACAACTGGGTGCAAGAGGCAAAGGGCTTGTTCTGTGTGTACAAAAATGTGAAGATGCAGTAAATGTCCAGTCACGCTTGTTTATCCATTTTATTTTGTGTATTCATTTGATGCATTTTATGATAAATATTCTGTGTTCTGACAAATCAGATTATTAACCATAATCAAGATGAAACACAGATGACAAACAGCAAGAACACAGACAAACTTATGTTTCATAACAATACAATACAAAAAAGAGTCCCTCCAAAAAATTTCATCACAAGAAGATTAAAAATGACATTAAAAACCACAAAAATCTTAATGGAACACTTTAATGCCAGTATTAAAACATAATAAAGAGAGAGCTCATCTGATGTATCTTGGGGAATTACATAGGGCTGCTTTTTGTTTGTTTTCCTAAACTGACTTTCTAATGTATTTTCTGACATCTTTCTAGAGTATTTTTTGTAATCTCTACTTGATCCTTCTGACTAGAGATATTAAAGACTGAACCAGATGATCTCTATACATATCAGAAGTCTTGAATTATCAATAAACATCCTTCTGCTTAGTTCACTTTTAATTGGAAACAAACTATTGCTGCATAATAAAATTGCAAATGTCTGCATACCTACATGCTTTGAGTTTTGTAAAATAACATTTCATTTCAAACATTTCCCAACTCTCATATCCACACATGCACACTCCATGGCTTGTGCTTTTCCCTAGTTCTTTTGACAATGCCTGTGTGCTTTTCCTTTCAACGCATCCAAAGAAACAGAAGAGCAGCAAAAAAAGAAAACTGGACAGTGACAAGGATTCGTCCAACAGGGAAGAGCAAGGGCTTGGTAGCTAGTAACAGGGGCATTCAGGTCTGCATCCCCATGGAGGAATGTACTGAAGATTTTGCTCATTATCTTGACCCCATGCACAAACATGGATATATACATATACACATGATTAGATATATAAATAATCAAGTAGATATCCCTAAGCAAATGAATCAGGTCATTTCCAATTTTTGTCATGTTCATCTCTGATAAGAAAATGAACATCTCCACTACTCCTTTCACAACCACTTTCAAGCCATAAAATGTTACACGTAAGACCAGAGGACAACTTAAATGGGGTAGATTGTGTTGAAGAAATGAGAAGCCTCTAGCCTGCTTTGATAAACCTGCACAAAATTATTTGAATCTCATTTGTTCACAGCAAAAAAAACTTTCACCATCCAGAATAGCATAAGTGCCTCATCACACTAGAGCATGGATCCACTTTAAACCCAGTTGCTGCCTTCTGCAGAAATCTGGGGTTTGTAGTTTAGGGAGGTCCAGGACCTGTATGTCTGAACATTTTAAAGGCCCCTCCCTTAAAGTACAAGCTCTAGAATTCTGCAGGAGGCAGAAATCAGATTTAAAGTGGATCTTTGCTCTAGTGTGATGTTCTAACATTATATGAACTAATTTTTGAGCCTTGGAGAACTGCTGTGTGAAAAAGGGGAATGGGGAAGTCTTTTTCTGATATTTTTTTCTGAACTCTTTTTTGGACCCCATCTACATTGCCATATAATGCAGTTTGATTAGTCAGTGTAGATTCATATAATGCAGTTTAATTGCCTTGAAGTCCATTATATTACACTGAACACTGACCATATACTGCAGGCATGGGTAAACTTTGGCCCTTCATGTGTTTTTGAATTCAATTCCCACAATTTCTTACAGCCTACTGCCTGTTAGGAATTGTAGGAGTTGAAGTCGAAAATACCTGGAGAGCCAAAGTTTGCCCATGCCTGATATAATGTCATTTCAAGCTGCATCATATGCCGGTATAGATGGGGCCTCAGCTGTGTCTAAACATGAATCCAAATCTTTGACACTGGTAAGTTGGCAGATGTTATTTGAGATGAGAAGATGTTATATTTATTTGCATTATTTCTACCCTGCTCATATCAGCCCGAAGGCGACTCAGAGCTCATATTGTGGCCTAATAAATTCTTTCTCTCAGGATAAAGTCTGAAAAACAAAGTTGGTTTCCTGTATTGAATCAACTAATTCACAAAATGTTGTTTTTGTTTTTCCATCTTTACAGTTTCTCCATCTTTACAGTTTCTCCAACAAGTCATGTCTCACAATTTAATGAGATATACTGTGATTGTAAGTTTATGCAGGAGCATTGATGATTCTTGGAGATCTGTCATTTACAGAATTGCTGTAAACTAGCTTGATGTCAAACACAGCAGCATGATATGCAATATGGTATGGAGCCCATGGTGGTGCAGTGTGTTGAACCATTGAGCTGCTAAACTTGCTAACTGAAAGGTTGCAGGTTCAAATCCGGGGAGCAGCTTGAGCGCCTGTTGTTAGCCCCAGCTTCTGCCAACCTAGCAGTTTGAAAACATGCAAATCTGAGTAGATCAATAGGTACCACACTGCGGGAAGGTAATGGCGCTCCATGCAGTCATGCTTTCCACATGACCTTGGAAGTGTCTACGCACAATGCCGGGTCTTCGGCTTAGAAATGGAGATGAGCACCTATCCACAGAGTTGGACACAACAGGACTTAATGTCAGAGGAAAACTTTTACCTTGTACCTGTACTAGAGAACCATTTTTCTACTAAACAGCTTCCCTAATGATACTTTTACTTCTTTGTTTCTCAGACTATATATGATTGGGTTGAACATAGGCACTAGAATTATATAGAACAAGGAAAACAATTTGTTAATCTCCACTGTGTCATTTGACCTAGGACTCAAATAAACAATAATTGCAGAGCCATAGAAAAGAGATATTACTGTGAGGTGTGAGGAACAAGTGGAAAACACTTTCTTCCGACCATTCACAGAAGGCATCTTCAGAATAGCAGAAATAATTTTAACATATGATGCAAATATAAGGCAAAATGGAATGACTAGGAATAGTGTGGCAGCTGCAAACACGAATAACTGGCTTTTATGGATATCTGCACAAGCCAAATCAAGCAGAGGGGGGATATCACAGAACAAATTGTCGATTTCATGGGAATCACAGAATGGCAAAGTGAACAGAAAGTACACCTGTCCTACATGCATAAGTACATTGATAGCTAGTGACAAAAAAAGGAATCCAAAACACAATTTCCTGTTCATTATGACTTTATAGTGCAAGGGGTGACATATAGCCACATAGCGGTCATAAGCCATGGCAGCCAGAAGCAAACATTCAGTACCTCCCAGTAAGAGCATAAAGTACAGCTGGATAGCACAACCAATAAATGTTATGGTCTGGTCTTCTACTACCAAATTGACAAGTATCTTTGGGATAGTGACTGAAGTATAGCTAATTTCCAGAAAGGAGAGACTCTTCAAAAAGAAATACATGGGAGTGTCCAAGGCAGGATCAGTTACTGTAACATAAATTATCATTCCATTTCCTAATATGATGCCTGCATAGATGGACAAGAACAGCGCAAAGAGCAAACCTTGCAGATCAGAAAGCTTGGAGTATCCCAGGAGAGTGAAGCCAGAAAATGCAGAACGATTTCCCTTGAACATTTTCAAACACATCTACAGAGATAGCAATGATATAGCAGGCAGGTTAGTTAACCTGAAGAAAGTTGTTATACATCCCACCCCACTTACACTTTTCAGTCCCAGTTATTTATTTCATATCAAAAGCATTGCATAAATTAGTATAAAACAGATAAAAATAGGAGCACAACTATCTAAATATCTTTTGACCAAAAATGGGCAACAGCCATGGCAATGTCTGTAGCCGCCAACAATTCTTCCTCTGTACACGAGGCAGGGCATAGTGGACAAGCATACAACAAGGTTCCTTATCTCTCCAAGCACTATAATAACTGATGGATTTTTCAAAAGCCTAATATTAGGTTATTTGAGATATGTAAAAATATCTCTCTTTTTTTGTATTTAACCAGTGCTTCAACCATTCACCACAATAATGGAGCCTATTCACTTTTTTCTGTGTGAATAAAATGTGTCCCTCTTTGTTGTCAAAGGCTTTCATGACCAGAATCACTGGATTGCTGGGAGTTTTCTGGGCTGTATGGCCATGTTCCAGAAGCATTCTCTCCTGACATTTCACCCACATTTATGGCAGGCACCCTCAGAGGTTGTGAAGTTTGTTGGAAAAGGATTCCCCCAGGCAGGAAACATCTAGGCTTTGAAGCTGCCAGGCTATTCAATGCTAATTAAAATGATCAATTGTAACATTCACACCTGCCTCAAACAGACACGATTACTTTCTCCCACTCTGGACATTTCACAGATATATAAACCCCACATGCCCAGTTTCCAACAAACCTCACATGCCTACCATATTATTTATTTATTTCCAGCATTTCTATCCCATCCTTCTCAACCCCCAGAGGCGGACACAGGGCGGCTTACACTTGGCAGCAATTTGGTGCCATAACATATAAACAGATACAACAATATAACAACAATTTAAAACAATAGATAAAACATTAATTAAAACAATTAAAAGCATTATTGTCATACCTTAGATGTGGGCGAAACGTCAGGTGATAATGCTTCTGGAACATGGCCATACAGTCCAGAAAACTCACAGCAACCCTGTGTCCCTCTTTGTTTATGTCTTCCAGTGACATATAAAACCAAGACAATGTTATTGAGCAGTACTTACAATCAATGATATTATTTTAAATGTTGGTTTTTATTGATCCTATTTTAAATTGCTTTGTTTATTTGTTAATAGTTTCCACAACTTTTAAAAACTGTTAGCCAGCTGCAATGCTACTTTCTCAAGTGGAAAGCAGTATTCAGAGGCACGCTATCTTAAATGTTGTTAAAATAAATTGCCATCATGACTCAAATATGTCTATCGAGATATTCTCAGTTATTGTTTTTCTAATCCTGTTTTGTTGTTGTGTAAAATGGAATGCTCTCTGATCAAATATTTCCATCTTTCAAATGTCAAATATTTCACCTTGCTGCACTGAATGGACCCAGTTCCAATATCACTGGAGGAAGAAACGTTTTTTCACTCTAGTGTGCCCTCTTTTTATGTCTTTGCACTTTTTCCTGAAATTGAAACATATTATTTACCATACTATGCCTCTTCATTCGGTTTAGAGAAATCCTTTTGGAATTACTCCTTTCCTCCTTTTGTTTTGCCACACTAAATATTGTTTAAATCATCTGCAAACTTGGCCGTTTTTAAGGTCAGATCAATGACAAAGTTAGAAAGAGTAAATCTCCCCCTCCCCACTTACATTGTGAATCCATTGTGAGAACTGTTTGTGTATACTGCTTGCTTGGTCTCTATGAATGTACAAAGATGAGCTTTACTAAACTTTTCAAACTGTTAAGTAAATTTCAATTAGCATTTCCATATGCTTAACGATGTAGTAAAATTCATTACTTACACATTGTTGGATGCACTTTTCTAGTGCACACAGCCTTCACATAATTCATTTCTAAATGTGCCGATATATATATATATATATATATATATATATATATATATATAAGAAATTTGGGGAACAGGGTTTATTGAGTAGATATGTGTATAACTGTACTTTAAGATTTCCTTTTGTGTTTTCTCCATGTCATAAAATTTCTTAGACTAGAATTTGAGGAGAAAGGTATGCAGAACAATGGAAATATGTTCAGCAGAATAACATACAGATCAAAAAGTAAGGGAAGAGAATAAGATTTATGTTGATTGAAAGAGGTTTTGAAATTCAAACAATATAGAACAGCAAATACAAAGATACAGTTAGAGAGATTTAAAATGACACTTTACCAGTGCTGTGATGGAGGAGACACAATTCAGCCTTTCCGATTGACTTCCCAGAAGAAGGCATTGATTTGTTGTCAGCATTCTCTTGTTCTCAATACTGGAAAGACAATGATCTCAATCTGAAAGTAGCAGCAGATCCTTATGTGTCTGAATGTGCTGAACACGGTTTATTCAGCATACTCCCAAGGGATGTTATTTAAGAAGAATGTAATTGTTAAAATTAATTGTATGCATTATTGGTAATGGTAATTACATATTTGTATACAAACACATTTCAAATTCAGTGCTACTTGCTTCCTTGGGGGATTTTTTTTACTAGTACTGTAATTATTTTTCTTTGCACACTTTTCCTCGTCATTAGTCTTTGACTGTTCTTCAGCAGCTTTTTCTTTAAAGAATTCTATGACGATAATAATATGAACACCGTAAAGTTTCAAAGACAGTTAGTTGTAATACTTTCTCCCAAATTAAGCTTACTACTACTAGTGATAGAATGGTGATAGTACGTTTTGGAAGAAATTTCTGTATATGCCACAGATGACTTGACATAGATATCAACCACGATTTGTATTACATTATGGTTAAAATTATTTCATTGTTCTAATGTGGCAAACTAGCCTGAAAGTTTTAAATGAACAGAAACCAGAATGAACTTTTCACTAGGGATATAATTATTGTAGATGTTTCTAGAATGTAAAGATGAGTAATTTCAGCATATTTGCTCACTGCGAGGAAGTCTTTGAAATTCATTCAGTTTTCAGATGCTGTTTACATTTCAGAACTTACTCTTTGCAAAAATCACGAATTGTTATTTTGTCTAGAAAACAACATCTTCTTCATTAAAAATAACATTTCAATGCAAAAAAAATTAACCCCTGGACAAAACATGTAATTTTCAGTGTAGAAAAACAATGTTATCTATGCAGACCAAAGAGGTAGGAATTTTACATAGAATAAATACACCATCACAGCATTTTCTGCACAGAAAAAGCATATGGTATAGATTTTTGTTCCAGGATCAATATTTCTGTGTTGAAATATTATTTTCTGCCCCTCAAAATCTGTTTTGTGCACAAAAAATCTACATGCAAATCTTTTACATAGTAAACATTACACTATGAAGATTCTCCAGATTCCATCTTGTTAGAATTTCCCAACATTAAAGAAAATGCAATTTATACCATTTCCAGAATATTTCCAATATTCATCCCATCTCTACTTCACACACATATATATAGATGATACAATATCTGTGTCCCATCACACAAAATTCTTACCCACCTTAAAGCTAGTTTCAAACATGCACTTTCATTGCACCTTATGAACAGGCTTTTTAGTTAAGAGTGCCCATATCACTGGATTTCATTTCAAATGCATTGTTTTTGCCTTCAAAAGTTAAGCCACAGCCACTCAGTAATGAAAAATGAACTGGTACTGCTTAAATATTTTATTTCACCTTTAAATTATCTGTCTATAGATCTCTGCCATGGTCATATTAACTGTCTTTGGCTATCAAAGTTATCTTTTCAGGATTAATTCAAAAAATGTTGCAATACTGAGTTATAATAAAACTTTATTTCCCACATCAATTATACATTAATCACATGAAAAGAAATGTCTACTTTGAAGAATCTTGATTTAATCAGATGTTGAAACTAAAGATTTTGGAAGTCATCCTTCTTCTCAGAGCATCATTTATCTCCTTACTTCTCAAACTGTAAATAATGGGATTGAGTGTTGGGGTGATGGTAGAGTAAAGCAGAGCTAGAAATTTATCAGTTTCAAGACTGTAGCTAGATGGGGGTCTCAGGTACATCGTACTTGCAGACCCATAGAACAAAATGATGACAATGAGGTGTGAGGAACAGGTGGAGAAAGCCTTCTGCCTACCCTTTGAAGTTGTGATTTTCAGGATCGTGGTGATTATGTGTGCATAGGAACCTAGAATCAGCAAAAATGGAAACAGAGTAATTAATAGTCCTGCCATGAAAACAGTGATTTCATTGATAGTTGTATCTCCACAAGCAAGCCTCAATAGTGGAGGAATATCACAGAAAAAATAGTTAATGTGGTTGTCCTCACAGAAAGGCAGAGTAAATATTAAACTTGTCTGTCCCAATGAAAGTGTCATCCCACTGGCCCATGATCCAGCTACTAGCCAGGTGCATAGTTGCTTACTCATGATAGATGAATAGCGCAGAGGGTTGCAGATGGCCAAGAAGCGATCATATGCCATGGCAGCTAGAAGAAAGCATTCTGTGGTTCCCAGGAAGAGAAGGAAATACAGTTGGGCAGCACAACCAAAGAAAGAAATGGTCTTGTCTTGTGAAAGAAAATTTGCCAACATTTTCGGGGCCGTGACAGATGTGTAGCAGATATCCACTAAAGAAAGACTGGCAATGAAATAGCACATTGGTGTGTGAAGAGAAGAATCAAGTCTGATAGTGATACTTATTAGGGCATTCCCCAGCAGAGATGTAGTATACATGATGAAAAACAAAATGAAAAGCAAACCTTGCATCTCTACATTGCCAGAAAATCCTAAAATGACAAATCCTAAGGTTTTGTTCTGTCCTTCCATGTCCCTAGGATTCCTTACCTAGAAGTAACAACAAGGGGTGAGAGATTATTTCTATGAAATATGAGCAACTAGGTTATGAATTTTTATGCAGCGTTATAAAAGGTAGCATTTGAGCTAAGAGTGAATGAGGTTTTAGTTCAGTTCATATTTTGAGAATAATTTATCAACATTGACCAAAACTTTAGAATGCACTTGAATACAACAACTCAAATATTGTAGACCTGCAAATGTTAACTCAACAAAAACCAGAGCTTTGCATTCTTAGCACTGTAAAGTTAACTTTTACATTTCTATGTATTCAACTACTACTGAGCAGAGCACCTCTACACCAGAGAGCTGCCACATGATCTTCTACATGCTAGAAATAGTTACAGCTATTGAATTTCACCAGTGCAGATAAGGGAGACTTTCACAAATTTCTTCCTCTCTCAAGTGGAGATTTCTGGGTTTTCAGAAAAAAAAAATCCTGAGAAAATAAAAGTGTTGGATTCATTCATTGGAAATATGTATTGCCCATTTATTTGATTATCAACCATTCACATGTATGTTAATTAACAGATACAGATTTTTTAAATATCAGCATGATTCATTGATAAACGTTTAAGTTGATGGTAAGTGTCAGGAAAAATGCATATCTACATTTATAGGATATCCCCTTTGGAATTGTCAATTTTTAGATAACTTCATTTTTCAAAGCACCAAAACCTATCCATAAAAAAGAAAAATTTCCTATTACACAGCTAGTCTAACAGCATTTTCCTACCTTCTCAGCTCTGTGGAGGGTTTTCAACTACCGTATCACCTACAAATAGATTGTCTTATGAGTGTGCATACAAAAGCTTCTCACTATACTCAGCATTATACCTTTGTTACAGAAACCTTTATTACCTCTCAACATCTGAAGGGAGATGACATCCAGAAGGAGGAGGGGAGAGCAGTATCATGGGCATTACATCATTGTTCCTTCTTGACTGTACAATTGCTTGTCTGTATACTGTTATCAATTCACATGAATGATAACTAACTACATTTCTTCTAGATGTTTTGTATTGTAGGAAACACCACGGCTAATTGCAAGTTTGGTTCCCAAGAAAGACATTGCGGGAATTCCTATTCAGTCCTATGGATATAGTGCTGTAGGGTTCAACATCTGATTCAGTGGTTCTCAACCTGTGGGTCCTCAGATGTTTTGGCCTTCAACTCCCAGAAATCCTAACAGCTGGTAAACTGGCTAGGATTTCTGGGAGTTGTAGGCCAAAACTCCTGGGGATCCACAGACTGAGAACCACTGCTCTAAATCAAGCTCCTGAGACTGCCATTAGAGTTTTGGAAGTTGGGGGACATCAGAATGCTGATGACACTCATATTTGCTTCTCTGTCATTGTCTCAGCCAGGGATGTGAAAGTGCTAGCACAGTTCCTGAATGCAGTTATGGACTGGTTGAGGATTAAAAAAAACTAAAGCTGAGTCCCATTAAGATTGAGGATCTGTGGATTAGTCCAGGAAATAGGTAGGTTACCTGCTCTAGATAGGGTTGCAATCCACCTGAAGGTGCAAGTGTGCAGTCTGGATGCACTCCACAGGTGCAGCTATACTGCAGAATGAATACTGTTTGACATCACTTTAACTGTCATGGCTCCATGCTATGGAACCCTGGGAGTTGTAGTTTGGTGGCACACCAGTGCTCTTTAGCAGTCAAGGTCCAGAATCTTGGGAAGCTGCAACTCTAATGATTCTACAGCATTGAACCATTGCAGTTAAAATGGTGTGAAACTACATGAATTCTACAGTGTAGATGCACCCTTAGATCCATCTTTGTCACTAGATTCAGATAGACTCAGCTATGGCCTTTCCTAGACAGAGATGGCTTAGCCACAGTAGTCCGCACACTGGGTACATCTCTGTTAGACTAGAGCCAACAAGAAAAAGAAGAAGAAGAAGAAGAAGAAGAAGAAGAAGAAGAAGAAGAAGAAGAAGAAGAAAGAAGAAGAATAGAAGAATAGAAGAATAGAAGGGGGAGGGGAAGATGAGGAGGAGGAGGAGGAGGATGGAGGAGAGGAGGAGGAGGAGGAGGAGGAGGAGGAGGAGGCTTTATTAATACACTGCCCCCTCTCCCCAAAGGGACTCAGGGTGGCTGGCAACACAATGAATGAATACAGTAAATTAAGTGCAGAAACAATCACATATTGATTAATTATTAAAACAAAATAACATAATAATGTAAGTATAAATAAACAAGCAATTTTAAAGACTAAAACATCCTGTAAAAATCTGTGACGCGGTTTAGCAATCCATTCCTATGATTAGAGTGTCCAAACTAAAAATTATAGCCAGAAAACTGTCCAATTAGGTGGTTTTTCTTTTTGCCATTACTAAACGTCTGCTTGAAGGTTTTCTACTCCTTCCTAAATACTGTCAAAGTGGGTGCTTCATTATTTGATCTCCCACATGGTGGCAGCAGCATTTTAAAATAGATAGGCAGTTGGCAAAACTGCCTAAGAACACCCTATGAAAAATTCAGGCAACTTGAGTCACTCACCTGTGCAGACAACAGAGGTAGTAGGAGAACTCTTTTTGGCCTTGTTCTTGAAGTCAGCATTCTCAACACCACCCCAAGATTAAATGCTCCCCATTTTCATTGGTCCATATAATAATTAATTGGAATAATCCTGCTAACAGTCGCAGCTCAACTCTGAGGTTGGTTGTAGTAGGAACCAGATCATTGATATTATAAAGTGTGGGTTATCTGTGGAGTTGGCAGCAATAGAAGTGATCCTCTGGGCATGAGAGATTCAGTAGTAGTAATAGGGTAATATTTTGTTTAAACCTGGAATTTCCCAAAAGCTCTTCAGTCTGGAAAACTCAATTACCCAGACATGAATAGCTCATATATATTACAGACCTACTGGCTACTGTATATATAATTAATAGTATATAATTAATCACAAAGTGAGCTGTTAAGCACAATTAGCATGTCCACATCATGTTGTACAATCTCTCCTATAGACTTGTATTGTTGAAAGAGACTCTCCACTTCATTAGATAGATGGTTTCCCCTGTTTTAGTGCACTGCTAGCATGCTTCCAGTATGGATCTGCTGGAGCCCATCAAATGATGCAGGGCTGCTTTGAGTGGGGCTCTGTTGGACTCCATGTCACTAGCATGCTGGCAGTGCACAAAGAGGGAGCCTTGAGAAGTCGGGTGGCTACTTGTCTTCTCATTAAAGAAGCCAGGAAAGCCAGCCCACAGTGGTAAGGGGACAAAGCTGGGCGCTACCCCATGGTTTACCATGCTGTTCCCAGCTGTCCCCAGGCTTCTGGACCTCCATGTGATGAGGTCCTAACACAAGTCTCCTGTGTGGGGAAGCAATGGGTGGATCATAATTATTGCTATTGTGCTAATTATTGCTAATCAGACATTTCTGATTTATGGTGACCCAAAGATGAACCTATCATGAGGATTTCTTGGCAAGAATTGTTGTTGTCTTTGGCTTCTTCCAAGACCAGAGACACAATGCTCAGAACACTACACCATGCTAGCTTTCACTGATAACTCATTAAACCCTGATATTTTTCCCCTCTGAATTTTCTTAAAGAGATGCTGGAGAAATCTGGCTGAAAGTAAGCCATCACAGCTCAACTCAAGTTACAAAAATGTTACAAAACAAGAAATGTTTCTAAACAAAGGTTTGTCCCTGCAAGAAGCTAGATAGGGTTGCATTTCACAGAGATGGGGCTTAGACTTGAGAGGGATGGGAAACGCAAAGGTGGTGCAACAGAGAATATCAGCATCCAGAAGGGAAAACTGACTCTGGTTTTGGAGAGCTAAATGAAAATTATTCAGAGATTAACATGCTATTTTCCATCTCAATAAAATTTTACTTGTTCATTTAAGATTGGCTCTGGCTGTCAAACTAGGTCATGCTTGTCACATTAGGTGTTTTCCTCCTTCTTTCCTAATTGTTAAAATCCATCTCTTTGCTCAGCTTTCTCCAACTCTAATAATGCTATGTTCCTGGTTTGAAAGTGTTATTCCTGTTTAATTGTGTGGTATTTATTTTGAAAGTAATTGTTATACTCCAGAAATTTCATTTTTGTGGCTGCCACAAACTATGTTTATTTATTTTATTTATTTATTTTATTTATTTATTTGATGCATTTATTAACCGCCATTCTCAGCCCTCTCGGGCGACTATGTTGAAATGGTTGCGAGTCTATGAGATATTCATTGAAAAACTATAGCAAAATGTGCTGCTGGATGCCGTGCAAAAACAAAGTTTTTTGCAATTTAATACATTTGTCTATGTTTTTATGATGCAACAACATTTATAACCCAGCAACAAAAATTGTGTTATATAGTGTAATTGTTGTTACTCTACCCCCAAGGAGCCAGCTTTAGGGAGAATTGCAAATAAATATATTTTAACTCTTTTTTTTTAATCTCTTGATGGATTTCCACAAAAAGAAGATTTTGAAAAACCATCCACTTGTTACTCCTATTTTTCCCCTGAGATCACGTTGCACTAGTTTTTGCTGCCTGATATATACTCATTGAATTTGAATATGCTATCTAATTTTTTGTTGTTATACATACTAGTTATCAGAAAAGGTGCTCCCAGGTATGTTTTGTAAGAAGTATTTGCAATCTTTTGGTACCATGTTCTCATGTATGTCCCTCTGATTACTGAGCCTGAGATATGAGAATTTCGCCTATGCTTCCCATAGATAATTTTAAAAGGAAACTACATGTTGCTATCTCTAATTTGTATAATAGGCCCTTTGTGAATTTGGGACAGAACTTGTTAAATTAATGAATTAATTCCCAATAACCACAATGAAATGAACCCTTTCCCCGTCCATTACTTCTGGAATATGAGTTAGCAGAAATACTGTAATTGGCACTTCAGATCATGGAGAAACAAAGCACAACAATAACAAATATGTTGTTGACTTGAGAATAAGTATGACAATGGCAAACAAAAAACTTTTAATAGACTAAAGAGCTGTTCAAATGGAATTATTATAATTACATCGTTCTTTTATTATGACACAATTGCAATCCCATTTTTTCACCATAGGCAGGCATGTAGCCGGGGGGGGGGGGCTTGAGGGGCTTCAGCCCCCCCCCCCCAAAAAATTCTCATGGTGGTTCGTGAAAAGGCCTTACTGGTGCATTATTTAAACTGTTATGTTTATTCATATCATGATCTGATCACCATACTCAATATATCCCATATGCATGGGGGTATTGGGGTAATGATACAAAAGGTTTGCTAGGCTAGACCCTCTTTCACTCAGACTCAGCCCCCCCCCGAAACTCAGCCCCCCCCCCCCCGAAACCTCCCCTGAAAAAAATTCACACCCCCCCACCGAAACAAAATCCTGGCTACGGGCCTGACCATAAGCATAACTGGACATCAAATAACTCAGATTTATTTTTAACTGGCATTGCTCCATTTTGTTTATGATCTGCCTCATTTCAAAGATGGAAGATGAATCATTTTTCCCAAAGAAAGGAAGCTGCCTCATACCTAATCAAGATAGCTTAGGAATTGTGTGGCCTTCCAGATGATGTTGGACAACACTTCCAATGAACAGTTATCATTGGTTTTGCTTGGTAGGCCTGCAGGGTGGTAAAAATCCATCAACATCTGGAGGGTCACACAATTCCCAGAACTGTTAACAAGGTTCTATATACAGAGTGTAGATATACATGTTGCCAACATAAAGACATAAGCAACCCCTACAATATTTCCACCAAAGCTGGCACAGCTAATAGATATAGCTTTGTATAAGGAAAGTGGTTCATTGTTTAGCAATTAAATGATGTGAAGTAGCACTGGGGAAAATCATGTGTATATGTAGAATCACAAAATCATAAAACTGGAAGTGACCACTTGGGGCCATCTAATCTCTCTGTTCAAAAACTTCCAGAGAAGGAAACTCCACCACATTCCAAAATGTATTCGACTGTCAAAAGGTCTCATGATTTTAAAAAAACAAACGTTTAGGTGTAATCTCTTTTCCTGCAGTTCAGAGTCACTGCTTTGTGCCTTGGGATGCATCTACACTGTATTTATTTATTTCTAGCATTTCTATCCCATCCTTCTCAACCCCCAAAGGGGGACTCAGGACGGCTTACACTTGGCAACAATTCAATGATGTTACATATCGAAGTAGAACGTCTGGCACTACTTTAACTGTCATGGCTCAAGGCTAGGGAATCTTAGTATTTGTAATTTGGTGAGGCATCCACACTTTTTAATAGAGAAGGCCAAAGACCTTGTCAAACTACAACTCCTAGGATTCTATGGCATTCAGTCATAGCAGTTAAAAGGATGTGAAACTGAACTGATATTATGGTGCCAATGCAGGGTAGCCCTGATCAAAGCCATCTTTGATATACCACATGCTATAGGCTGTATATCGGGGGAAGAAACAGGTAAAACCACTTCTGAGTGTCCCTGCTGGGAAAAAAATGAAATTAATGTGCTTGCCATATGCTGACAAGTGACTTGAAGACACATGCACACATAATGAGAAGTAAATTTTAGGTGATTCAGTTGTAATAACATCAAACGTTTCCCTGTGAAAAGAAAAGCAACTGAGAGTAAGAATACAAGAGGTTTTTAAAAAAACATGCATTTCAAAAACAGGTTCAGAAAGTCATGTTTTTAAAAAGCAAAAAGCTGTATTGATTCCAAAGAAAACAGCTGCTGTAGAAACAACTTGCATTAAATTTCTCATTTTCTTTCCAGATACAAAAATTTACAAACAATTATTCCACAAAGGAGGATATATAATGGGGAATTACCCTTGTTTTGTTCTGTTCATTTTTCTTTATATAATACACACTTGTGTGTAATGTGAACTGAATGAGTTTCATTCCCTTTACTGGATTTGGTTGTGATTTTTTTGTCGTTGTCACAAGTACAAGAATAACAATATTACATTTTGTTAAGAAATATGTTATAATCTATTATCTGCATTATTTAATTGGTTTGTTTATGTGTTTAGGCTATTGATGTCTCATTGTTCAGCTACAGATGTTCTCAGGGCAGATTACAAATTGATCATTTGACAATACCCTCCTCTCAGGCTTAAAAGATATTATGGCAGTGTGTATGATGTCCTGCAGACCCTGCCTTTTCTCCTCCTTTGCTCTTTTGCTGAGGCAAGGACAGTGACAGTTGGGATGGAAGGAAGACAATGCATTTGCTTCAGGAACATGGAATAGTGGAGCTGTGCCTGTCTCCTTGTCTTCTATTTCTGTGAACAGTACCTGTTTTTTGCTTGCTACTGACATTGGGGCTGAGCCACATGGTGTGGTGTCTCAATGTTAGACCATGACTCTGGAGACCAGAGTTCAAATCCACACTCAGCCACTGAATGACTTGGACAAGCCATGCTCTCTTAGCCTCAAAAGGAGGCAAAGCCCCCCCTTCCTCAAATAAATCCTGTCAAAAAACTCCTTGAAAAGTTCATTACTTGTGCTGCCTATTTAACCTTAACAGGCGGACTTTTTGAAGTGCCACATTAAAGATTAACTTTCTTAAAACCCTACTCATGGCTTCTTTCACTTCCTTGTTTCTCAGGCTGTAAATGAGGGGGTTAAGTATAGGAGTCAGGACAGTGTAGGACAAAGAAAATGTTTTCTTTATGCGAATTAAATGTCTGGAATGAGGCAGAAGATAGACAAGCATAAGTGTTCCATAATACAAGGCAACTACAGTGAGATGTGAGGAACAGGTAGAGAAGGCCTTCTGCCTCCCTGAGGTTGATGGGATCCTAAGGATAGTAACAATGATGAAAACATAGGATGACAGGGTGAGGATAAAGGGTGGGAAAGTGAATACACAGGCATATACAAAAGAGTGTAGTTCAACTGAATGTGTGTCACTGCAAGAGATATATCTGATGTCTGGAATGACATCACAGAAAAAATGATCAATTTCGCTAGAGCCACAGAAAGAGAGCTCTGTCACTTTCATAGTTAAACTGGTGCTAACCAATATACCACATACCCAAGAGACAGCTGTTAATTGAACACTCATCCTGGCATTCATAATAGTGGCATAGTGGAGTGGCTTGCATATTGCCAAGTATCTGTCATAAGACATCATAGCTAGGAGATAGCATTCAGCCCCTCCCAAGAGGGCAAAAGTCAAAAACTGCACAAAACAGGCTCTCATAGATATGCTTTTTCCTCTTATCAAAAAATTTGACAACATGTTTGGCAGGACAGTTGAGCTACAGCAGGATTCCAAGAAGGACAGGTTCCCCAAGAAGAAGTACATGGGAGTGTGAAGGTGTCGATCAGTCGCAACCAGGAAAACAATGAGAAGGTTTCCAGCCATGGTTCCCAAATAGATCAGTAAGAAAATGAGGAAGAGTAGAGCTTGGAAGTTTTGAAGATCCCCAAATCCCAGAAGTATGAATTCAGATATAATAGTCTGGTTCTTCAATTTTTCATTTTCAATGTGTTGCATCTGCAGAAAAATAAATACACAGTATTGTGTAATTTAAGACTCTGTAAAATGACACTAGACATAAACTTACAAGTAAACTGGTTTTGCGATGAAGACAACTACCATCACACTTTGGTAAAGTTCCACAAATAGCATATTTAAGGGTCACAGTTAAAATATTGCTGCACTAAATACTGCCAGGAAAACAAAAACAAAAACATGTCATTGTCACCATATCATTAAAACACACGCTTAGCTGACACTGGAAATACCCAGCTTATGGCTCCATACTTTCACACTCTGCCTTTTCCACATTTATCTGTCTAATGGTACTGCAAGGGAAAAGACATTAAGAGCTTCTCCGTGATATTTAACACTTTTTGAAAGACATTTCCCTGTAATGCCTGAGATGTTTCTGATATATTTCTGCCTCTGATCTGAGAAAGACTGCTTGGTGTAACCTTTTAAAATGAAAGACAACAGACTGTTAATGTCTTGTGTATGTATGTTCTCTCAAGTCGCCTGTTGACTCATGTTCCCTCTTGAATTTCACAGAGTTTTCTTAGACAATGAATACTCACAGGTTATTTTTATCCATTTCTTCTTCTGAAATGTGGCCCACAGCACCTGGTATCCATTTGTGGTCTCTCATCCAAGTACTAACCAGGGCTGACCCTCTTGAGTTTCCATAGATAAGATACAATCTTGTGTCTTTATAATATTTAAGCATTTCTGTTGGCACCAGTACCAGCTAGTAATGTACTCCTCTTCATTTGCTGCCTACACTGAAGGCACATGGGAATCTTGGGAACACTTCAAAGAAGTCCCAGGTCCTTTCTGACTCTTCTGCTGATGACTCAGACTGTCTGGCCTTCAATGGCCCTTCCAACACTTGAAGACAGTTTGTCCTCACTATATCTACTTTGAGTGTGCTACCCAGTCATTGATATTTATTATCCTATCTTTCTCACAATATGGAACTCAAGGTAGTTTACAGTGTAAGTTAAAACAAAATCATAGAAGCAGGAATTTCTTCTAACATCAATGCTAGAAGAAATCATATTTAAAACATAAGGATAGTTCATCACATTCCATTAAACAAAACCTTTTGCTCAATTAATTAAATGTGGAAGGCCTGTCTAAAGAAAACAGATCTTTACCTGCTGGTAAAAATCAATCTTTACACATCGTATTGCTGGTAAAAGCAAACCAGTGATCTCCATCTAGTTCTTGAAACATCATGTATGGGAGAAATAGTAAGTTAAGCTCATGATCAGATATAATGACAATAATCAACAATAAAAATGGCATTGCATAATGCATACATTTAATGAGTAAATCAACCTAACTTAAATTAAATGTAATGCTACACTCACATTATCTAATCTTTTCCCACTCTTTTTGTTGTCAGAATATCTGGCAACACCTGTATTATTTGAGCCATACTTATACAATCTGCATCAGGCCAACCCAATCTAACTTGGACCTGGTTCAATTTTGTCCAATTTGGCTCAGCATTCAGCTGAATCACTTCCACAACCCAAGTGGTGATTATGTTCACAAATGTCGAAGCATAATTCTTATAATATTAATTTCCTTGTTCCTTGTGTTCCACTCTATACTGCACTAACAGCTTATTTATCTATGTCTACCATTGCCTCTCAGGAACTCATTTTTTCCTTCAATCAGCATGTTTGCTTAGTTTTTCTCAATTTAAGTGAGGTGAAAATAATTTAATCTATATGATTATATCCTTATAAGCACCAAAATCAATAACAAATATATTTACTTTTGGTAAAGTTTTAGGTTTCTTATCAATTCCATGAGCTGCTTCCTAATCCTGCTAGAGACATATACTGTACTATAGTTTTCCCCATAGCCACCCATTGCTGTATTTAAAGTTTTGTTCTCACCTTTTCTTTTTCCATTTTTCTGCATACCAATGTCTTATACCACTCATTGATGAATACTATAGCTTCTTTTTGTCTCTTCCAAGCAGAACAAGCTAGATGTACTGTGTCAGTAATAAAACCTAAGATGATTCACAATGGACTGTGCCTTCCCTCGTGGGATTTCGGTTGTTGAAGGCAAGAAGAAATACATCCCTTGGCATTTCTGATACTGGGAATTATAAACCAAGGTTGAGCCATGTGAATGTTATGCCTTTCTTTTAAGTGCAGTTTTATTTATTTACTTGCTGTCCCTAGCCACGTTGTTGTGGCCCAGTCTGATTAAATGGAAATGTAAGGAAAGAGAAAGAACAGGTTTCTAATATATTTAATTTCACAATGCTTGTGGGTATACATTTTTTTTGTTCCATTGTCTGTGCAGATATAGAGATTGTCGTTTGCCAACTCTAGAACACGCAACATATAATTGTTCATGTGAGAAGCAATCCATGTCTAGATCTGAACTGTACAATTTTAAAGCTTGGCCTTGTAGACTTAGGGCCCTTTCTTACAGCCATATAACCCAGAACATCAAGGCAGATCATCCACAATATCTGCCTTGAACTGGGTTATCTGAGTCCAGTCTGCCATGTAACCCAGTTCAATGTGGATCATATACAGCTGTATGGAAGAGGCCTAAAGAAAGACACAGGGTGCTCAAAGGAGCTCCAATAAAGTAATTAATAAACATACAGCAGCATTCCTGAGGGCAGGGGTTGCATTGGTGGAGGGAAGGAGGGAGGGAGGCCCAACCCCCTCAGATGACACAGTGATTGACAGTGAGGGCGTGATGTACATGCCCACACAGCCAAATAAACACACAGAGCCGAAGAGGCAAGGCCTGCTTTACCTGCCCAAAGAGGGCTGCCTAAGTGGGTGAGTGGCCGAGGTGCACTCCTCTCCCTCAACCTGCAATTTCAGACTGAGGTAGAGAAGCAGTCTTGAGGGGGGAAGGCAAAGGCGCACCCCCAAGGCTGTCCCCCGCAGTGTACCCCTGTGCAATCCTGCCCCCTTCAGGGCAGAGTGATCAGTAATGAAGTGAAGAAGGATGACAATAAATTATGCCCACTATATAATCAAATATAGGAAGGAACGAAGGAAGGAACACAGGAAGAACAAAGGGAGGGAGCCCCGTGTCTGTCCCAGCTTCTTCTTCAACTTCTGCTGCTTCTGTTGGGCTGGAGAGGCCCCTGCAGCCCAACAGGGGCCCGTGCCCCCTGGGAGCAGTGGTGTGGGACTGGTTCAGGGGGAGGCAGAGGCTGAAAGATCACCCAATTGGCTGGAGAAGGAGGGGTTCCAGGGCCCACAGAGCAAAGAAGGTGGGGGTGCTAGAGAAGGAGAGGCATGGGCAAAGACAGGGGGAAGTTGGTGAAGGGAGGGCGAGGCATCAGGTGACTGCCTGCCCCACCTGCTCATCCCCCCTCCATATCAGGAAGGGAGGGAGTGGGGAAAAGCAGCTGGGCTCCCTTGGGTGCCTCCCACAAAGTCCAGACCTTGCCAGTTGGAGAAGTCAGGTAGGTCATGCCCAGGAGAATGGGCAGAGTGTTGCCTGGGTTTGGAGGGGAATGTGTTCTGTAAAAAGTGACCCATTCTTCTTCTTGTTGTTGTTATTGTTGCTGATGTTGTTGTTATTATTATGTTGATTTCTATCCCACCTCCTCTCCCCAATAAAAACTCAAAGCTACTAACAATAACAGGCCACAATCCAATAAAAAATTTAAAACAATAAATTTTATTTTAAAAAAAACAATTCAATCTTTGTGTCATGCCTTTAAAGTTTAAAAATACAACAAATAAAATCAATCTTACATTTAAAGCTCATTGTTGCTTACATGACACAATCCAATAAAATTTAAATACAAGGCAAATGCATTTTTCAACAAAAAAAATAGTGATAAGAAATACAATAAAAAAGACCTTCAAAACCCATCATTCCCTGCCCCAAAAAATTCCCACCCACAACCTCCCCAGCGGCCTGCTCCATATTACTCTGTGCATGACTAGCAGCAGAGAGTTGTCTTGACCAGCCTATGAAAGGCCAGCAGGGTGTGTCCCTCCTTACCTCTCTCTTTGAAGAGAGCTCCAAAGTCTGTGTTGAGCAGCCACCAAAAAGGCCCTGTGGGACAAAGTGAAGGCCCTCTTCAGACCTTAGTCTTCTAACAGGCTCATAGAAAGAGGTATGGTCCTTCAAATATCCCAGACCCAAGCCATACAGAAGTTTATAGGTCCAAACCAGCATTTTGAATTGTGCCTGAAAATAGCTTGGCAGCAAGTGAAGCTTTGCAACAGGGGAGTGGTGTATTCCCTGCAGCCATGCCCAATTTATCACCTGGCTGCTGCCCTACAGTGACCCCATGGATTTTTTTTTCACAAGAGGGGTTTTTGATGTGAAGGAGACTCAGAGGTGAGTTGACCAATTCCTTCCTCTGAAAAACAGCCCACAGCCTTTGATATCCAATCGTAGCCTTTCTGGGTTTGGGGACTGCCGCTCCCAATGGCTGGGGGATTCTGGAGTGGCAATTCCAAAAGGCACATTCCCCCGTGCTCTGAAAGGTCTCCCCTGCATCATTTGTGGATCCTTAAGTAATAAAAAAAAACATTCATTCTTTGACAACCCCTGATTCTACATTTGTTGCTTTGGCTGCCCTTTAAAGGACAAAACTTTGTGTTATGGTTTTTACATGCAATTTATATCTGTTCACACAAACACTCTCCATCCATCTGCCATTGGCTCAGCCCATCTGTCAAATATTAAAATACAACACAGCCCCTGTATCAATAAGTTTGCTAATGCCTGTTCTATAGGCTGTCCTCTTCAGTAAAACCTCCCTCCTTCTAATTGTCATATCAAAGCTTGCTTACAGAAATGGGATGCAACACAACATCATCCTGCAGTGTCGCCATTTCAATATGAACAGACTTCTTTTGCCGCTATCATAAGTTTCTGGTTGCTAAAAAAGGTTTGCAGGTGGCATTTCAATTCTTTTATCATAAGCACAATACTGATCAGTTACAAGTCTGTTAGTTTAGCTTACATATCCACAATAGTTTGACATAATGGGTTATTGTAGGGTTTTTTGGGCTATATGGCCATGTTCTAGAAGCATTCTCTCCTGATGTTTCGCCTCATCTATAGCAAGCATCCTAGTTTCCAAGAGACCTCACAACCTCTGAGGATGCTTGCCATAGATGCAGGCAAAACTTCAGGAGAGAATGCTTCTAGAACATGGCCATATAGCCCAAAAAACCTACAACAACCCAGTGATTCCAGTCATGAAAGCCTTAATACCAACCAAAGCTTTTAAGATCTGACCAGGACAAAAGAATTTTTAACTTGGGTTGTTGTAGGTTTTTCCGGGCTATATGGCCATGTTCTAGAGGCATTTTTTCCTGAAGTTTCACCTGCATCTATGGCAAGCATCCTCAGTGGTAGTGAGGTCTGTTGGAACTAGGGAAAAGGGGTTTATATATCTGTGGAATGACTGGGGTGGAACAAAGGACTCTTGTCTGCTGAAATTTTTAACTTTCTACTCAAAGGAGATCAATAAATGTTAAAATACCCGCACTGCCAATCATCACGTCTAACTTCTAACCCATAAATATATATGGGCTGGCCCTTTTATATTGCTTTCAAAAGAAACTGAATGTAGTAAAAAAGAATAAAGATGGCACTGATGATGCCTACAACTACACAAATCAAGATGAACAATAAATTAAAAAGAAGACACAAAAAAGACAAAAGAAGAGCAGACTCATACATTATTTACATTTGTTGTCTTTTAAAAGCCAACTTTCTGAAATATGACAACTTCCTGAAAATCCTATTCATGGCTTCTTTCACTTCCTTGTTCCTGAGACTGTAGATGAGTGGGTTGAGCATGGGAGTCAGGACAGTGTGGGGAAGTGAAAATTCCTTTCTTATGTGACGCCAGTTTCTGGAATGGGGTATCAGATAGATGAGCATCAGTGTGCCATAATACAAAACAACCACAATGAGATGTGAGGAACAGGTAGAGAATGCCTTTTGCCTCCCTGAGGCCGATGGGATCCTAAGGATAGTAACAATGATAAAAACATAAGATGATAAGGTAAGAGCAAAGGGAGGGAAAGTGAATACAGAGGCATATATGAAGGACTGTAGTTCAACAAAATGGGTATCGCTGCAAGAAAGATCACTGATTTCTGGAACAATGTCACAAAAAAAGTGATCGATTTCATTGGGGCCACAGAAAGACATCTGTGACAGTTTCACAATTAGGCTTGTGCTGAACAAAATACCACTTATCCAAGACAAAGCTGCCAACTGAAAGCTCAGCCTGGCATTCATTAGAGTCCAATAGTGGAGTGGCTTACATATTGCCAAGTACCTGTCATAAGACATCATAGCTAAAAGGTAGCATTCAGTTCCTACCAGACAAGAAATTATGTGAAACTGCACAAAACATGCTTTTACAGTTATACTTCTCTCCCCAGTCAAGAGATCGAACAACATTTTTGGCAGGATGTTAGCACTATAGCAGGTTTCCAAGAAAGACAGGTTTCCCAAGAAGAAGTACATAGGGGTGTGAAGATGATGGTCAGACACAACCAACACAAAGATGAGGAGGTTACCGGTCATGGTCACTAAGTAGATCCCCAAGAAAAACAGGAATACTGGAACTTGGAGGCTTTGAAGATCTCCAAATCCCAGAAGTATGAATTCAGATGTTATAGTTTGATTTTGCCATTTTTTGTGCGATGTTTGCGGCATCTGGAGGAGACAAAACACAAAGTTGATTAAGCAAAAGGTGTAAGCAGCTCAGTCAAAGACTTCCCCCTCCCCACTTCCATGTAGGCACCTAAAGACCATCAAAGTATCCCTCTCAGGTGTACAGCTAAAATGTTGCTGCAATAAATGTTGCAATAAACACCAAAATTCATCCAGTCATCCAGTGTTATCATCTCACTAAAGTCAGGAGATAGATATATTCTCTGCCAGTTTTGGTTATGTATTAGGACCCTCCAGACAGGCCCTATATTTCAGGATCTCATCCCAGGTTTTCAGCTTTAAACGTGATTATATGAGTACGCATTGCCAGATAATCTAAGATTAACAGAAAAACCTGGAATCAGATCCTGGGATATAGGACCTGTCTGGAGGGCCCTAAGACATAACCAAAACTGGCAGAGAATATATCCATCTCCTGACCTCATACTTTCAACACCCCTTATTTTCCACTGTTGCCTGACTAATTTTATTGCAGACTGAGAGATATAACTTATCTCATGACATTTAGCACTTTTGCAAAAGACTGATCATGAAGGTCTATCCCATAATGTCTAGTCCCCAGAATTTTTCTGCCTCAGTCCTGAGCAAAACTATTTAGTACCTGATCTGGTGGTTTAAAAATGCACCCTTTACTTAATTTCTGCAGATAGCACTCTTACAGGTAACATCACTCCTAGATAGTATTCAGCCTTTTGGGGGGAAGGGGGTGTGATACAGGCTGCCTCACTTTCATTCGTGTGTTACTAATTTTTATGTTCAAATAGAGCCATATTGACAGTTTAAGCAGACTTGCTGTGCTTTCTACCCAGGTCAACTATTACTATTACTATTACAGCAGAAGCGACTTGCAGTTTCTCAAGTCGCTCCTGAGATGAAAAAAAACTATTTCAAATGTTATGTGTGGTTTTTTTAAAGTACCCTGTCAACCTCATGCATTTTATTGGGGGGGGGGGGGTCTTAAGCAGAAGTTATTTTGTCAGTTCCTTCCTCTGAAATGTGGTCTACAGTGCCATCTAGTATTTGTTGTCTGTCTCCCATTCAATTCGTTGATCCAGAGTTGATCCAACTCAGCATCCAACATCAATCATTATTTGGTATCTTAATGTGTGTATGCCCATTAAAGAAAATCTGTGCCAGTGTGCCTGTCTGCACCTAAATGCATCTTATGTTGTATATATGATTGATAATTAATAGTGAACTAATTTATAACTCATTAAGTTAAACTAATGATTACATTACATATGCTAAAAGCACCAAATCCCACTTGAGCTTGGAAACTGAGCCGAGGCAGCCCATAGTACTTGGATTGGGGGTTACCAATGAATATGAGGTGGTATAGGTTATACTTCAAATGAAGGAACTAGGAAAATAATCTCTTAGTATTGCTTGCCTAAGAAAACCCTATGAAATTCATGGGGGTACATTAACTTGACAATCAACTTGAAAGTAAACCTACACATAATGATATGCTACAATGGTTATAATGATTTACCCAATTGTAAATGATATATACATTTAAGCCATGAGGAAATATTTGAAAGGCTGAAGTCAATGCATTTCCAGTGTCTACATAAGCTTGTGAAAACTGGATAGTGAAAAATGCCTGTGGAAGAAGTTATCAATTCATTCAAGTGCTGGTGGAAGGATTTGCAAACACAATGAACTGCCAAAAAGACAAACATGTCTAAGAGCACAGCAAGCCTGGATCTTCCTAGAAGCCAAGATTATACTGAGTCTGCTGTATATTTGGACACATCATGAGAAGACATGATTCAGTAGAGCAGATAATAATGCTTCGTAAAATAGAAAGCAGCAGGAAAAGAGAAAGACTGCATTATTGGTAGACAGCTTTAATCAAGGAATCCTTAGTTCTAATTTTTCAAGATCAGAGAAGAGCTATTGATGACATAGTGACCTCAAAACATCTCATTCATAAAGTTGCCATCGTCAAAATTAACAGCACACTAATAACAGAATGGAAATTACATACAATGCTGTGATTATGGAAAAGACAGTCATGCACAATTATGATATAGACTTTTTCTGATCAGTTGTCAATTGGTTTTAATTTTGAAATCTCAGGACATGCTTTTGGACCATGACATAAATTTATGTGGTTTGGCTCACCATGTTAAAGAATAATAATAAGGAAGGAAATAACTAGATGACTGGCATATGTCCTAGTTCTGTTCTGTATTTGTAGCTCATTGATCTACATTTTTTCTTCCCTCATTGAACTTGCTTAAAGTAACTTGTTACAATCCAATAGAGAAAATCACATACTTAGTATATATTAAATTGATCTTGCAAGCAATATTTATACCAAAAATAATGACAGTAATATATGAGTATTGTTAGCAGTGTGAAGCCTATCATTTATGTTCTCTTCTTGTTGGATGCAGGCAATACACTCTTTCTCAGAAGAGATGTTGCATTTAAAGTTTTGTTCCTACCTTTGCTTTTTCTATTGTCTTCCCATGCCTGTATTTTACACTACCAACTGACAAATGATCTCTTTGGATGCATCCTCTTCCTTCTCTCTCTTTGGAAGAAAGCAAACTGGATATACTGTAGCAGCAATAAAACTGAAGCTGATTCACAGTAGACACGACCTGAATGCCCTCGGGATACTTATTTATGATACATTGGCAAGGAGGAATGCATCACTGAATATTTCTGATTATAAACACTGAAAAACAAGGTTGTCTCCTGAGAGTTTTATCTGGGTTTTTTCCCCCCGAATTGAGCATTTATTTAGGGGTTTTTTTCAAAATACAAATTTATTAAATTTTAAATATGAATGAAAAAGAATAGATGGGTAAAATACAAAGAAAGAGGGGGAAAGTGGTATGTTTTATTGATTAGCCCATTGGCCATATCAAAAACATTTGACAAAGAAGGGGAAAGAATGGAAGAAGAAATAAGATATGGTCTAGGGACAGGCATAAACATACTGTAATCTTGTAATACTCCCAAATATTTTGTTGATAGCTGGTATCAGTAACTGATATTTTTCCACAGACGAATCATTAAAATACTCTGACATTGAATGATTAATGGTGCATATTTTTCCTTCCAGCCTTGGAGCAATGTTTTATCTATAGTAGCAGTATCACAGAATTATAAAGTTGAAAGAGACTACAAGGATCATCCTGGCCAACCCTCTGCCATGCAGGAAAATACAATCAAAGCACTCTCAATAGATGACCATCCAGTCTGTGCTTAAAAACATCTAGAGGAGAAGACTTTATGATGCTTCAAAGCAATATATTCCACTGCCAAACTACTCTTACCATCAAGAAGTTCTGAAATGAAGGATCCAAACAACCTAATCAAATAGTGGTGGTTTGTGTTGTATATTCATATAAGCGTGTAGTAGCAGAGACAATACTCATTGGATATGCTTGTGATTTATATCCTTCTCCACATTTCAAACCCACTTACAGTGATGAGATGGTCTAAAGCTGGCCTGCCAACTCATGGCTCTCCAAGTCTTTTGGACTTCAACTCCCAGAATTCATGTCCGTTGGACGAACTGCCTAGAGTTTCTGCAAGGTGGAGGTCTAAACAGATTGTGCAGGTTGGTCTAATGCCTTCAAAACTTACACAAAATAAAATTCCTGAGAGGTAAATGCTCTGCCTTGAAAGCTCAACATAATCATCTTGATGCTCAACATAATCATCTGGTGCTAATCAAGCAACTCAGAACATATTTTCTTGTTTTTAATGTGACTCAGTAATATCTCTGATGCAGTCACTGTTGCCCATTTTTGGTCTAAAATTATTTAACCAATTGTGCTCCCTCTATTTTATCAGTTTTATACTTACTTATACAATACTTTTGACACAAAAATAAAATAATAATATCTCTGGTGAACAAAAAATACTTTTACTTATGGGCTAATATTGCAACAAATATAATGCTACCCAAAAGCAAATATTTATGTTTTTGAGAATAAAAGAAATAGACAGGAGATTTGTCAAATCTTTTCCAAGACCATTTTATTCAGGGTTTGTTTGAGGCTGAGAGTATGTGATCCAAACAAGGTCACCTAGTAGGTTTCCATGGCTGAGTGAGGATTCAAACTCTGTTCTTCAGAGCCAGAGTCCAATGCTCAAACCACTACACCAACGGTTCTCAAACTGTGCTCCATGGAGCTCTTACGGCTCCATGAAGCACAATCAGGGGCTCTGGAGGGCCCAGTGGCCCTCCCCCTCCTTACCTGTGAAGCATACAACACATGAAGCCCTGATGCTGCCAGTGTGGCCTAGGAGGCTCTTCTCCTAGAAGGCTCTCCTCAGCCGCAATCAGCATGATCAACAGAGCCTCCCCACAGCAGCCACCAGCATGACTTTCCTGCCACCAGTTTGAATGTGCTTTTACTGCAAGGCAAAAGCAAGTTGGACAGAGTGGCCCCTGGGGCTGTTGTTGTTGTTGTTGTTGTCGCAAAGGCTGGATGACCATCTGTTGGGGATGCTTTGACTGTGCTTTACCTGCAAGGCAGAAAGTGTTTTTTCGTCTTTATTTTAAATATTATACAGTTCTTTATTTATTTATTTTTACACTACAAACAAGATATGTATAGTGTGCATAAGAATTTGTTCATGGTTTGTTTGTTTTTCAATTAGTTCACACAAATATTCTCCATCCATCTRCCACTGGCCCGGTCCTTCTGTCAAATTTTAAAATGCAATGCGGCCCCTATGTCCAAAAGTCTCTTGGGGCTCCACAATAAACTTTTCCTTGATATATATATATATATATATATATATATATATATATATATATATACAGGATTGCATTGAAAAATGTACCTGTTCTGACTTACATACAAATTCAACTTAAGAACAAACCTACAGAATCTTTCTTGTTCATAACTTGGGGACTGCCTGCATTGTGAGGCAATTTTTCATTAAAAAAGAGACTTATGAAGGGCCCCAAGAACTATTTTGAAATGCTCTATAAGTGGATCCTCCCAGTTCAGTTAAGAGTCCTGGAAGGATCCTGCAGTTCTAAACTGGCAAGAAAATGGAAATCTTCCAACTGCAGACCATATATATCTAACATGTGCAAAATATGTGGATGGAGCCATGTGAATAAACATGAAGCAAGTTCACAATTTCCATAAAACCCTTCTCCTGCACCACCTCTTTTCTTACCAGCGTTCTTCACTATTCAGCTTTCATAGCTTTATGTAGAAATGGTGGAAGCTCCTTCCTTGGAAACTTTTAAACAAAGGCTAGCTGGCTATCTGTCAGGGATACTTTGTGTTTTTCCTGCATGGCAGGGGGTTGGACCAGATGGCCCATGTGGTCTCTTCCAACTCTATTATTATATGACATGGAAAATACAATAACATGAATAATTGTAACTTCTGTGGGATAACTGTTTTACATTCTAAGACAAATCCTTAAAAACCCTAGGAAATAATTAAAGGGTCATTTTTCAGTACTGAAAATGACTGAAAACAAGACTCCTATGCCAATATGAATCTTATAAGAAATCAAAGTATTTTCGCAAAAACATCTCAGATGTTTACTACAATTAATTTTAGTACAAAACTTGAAACTAAACTTCAGGGATATCTCCAAAGTTTTTCCATAGGGACATATATTGAGTTATGACAAAAAGCCTAAAACTGCCTCCTTGCTTGTGGGTCTTTTTCTTTCTAAAGGGAAAGTAAAATAATTGACCCAGATGGGAATAAGTGCAATTATAAATTAATGGGAAGCTAACTGAAAATGAAAAGAGATCCAGAACATTACTAACATGAGCCCATAACATGTTTTCATGTTATGGAAAACAGAGAAATCCAAGATGTTTAAGAGGAAACAGTATAAAGTCCTTGCAACTCCCTTTTCATGAAACAAAGAGGTAAATGTGTTTCTTATACTATATGTTTTGCATCTTCAGATTAGTCTGGCTTTAGAGAAAATTCCTTTTTTTAAGTTACAGAAACTGTGTGTCACTGTCTACATAAGACACCACAGGTATGTAAACACTAGAGTTTGTCAAGCATCTGGCAGAAGACTTGGGCCCTTCCACATATCCCAGAATATCAAGGCAGAAAATCTCACAATATCTACTTTGAGCTGGGTTATCTGAGTCCACACTCAGATAATGTGGGATTTTCTGCCATGATATTCTGGAATATAGGACTATATGGAAGGGCCCTTAATAGTTGGTTTTTTAAAAAAACATCAATTCTATAAACTTTAAACTGCAAATCAGGGATAGGATAAGGCCACATGCTGACTTATTTAGCCTCATAGAAATTTTTAGGGCATATTAATGGCAGTCCTATTGATCGATTTTATGTTATTGCTATGCTGTGAAGCAAAAGGTTAACAGAAATGTAAAGGCTCGTCTTTTTAAAATGTTATTGAGTGAAAAGTGTTTTCAGATATCCATGTTTCATTATATTTTAGTGATGGTATTGGTTAGAATTCTACATAGCTTACTTACATAGCTACTTTATTTTTGTAGCTAAGTAGCATTTTCCCCTCCAAATCTCAATCCAGTAGGACAGCAGCCCCTGCGAGCAACAAAAATCAGTTCCCCTGTCAGTCTACATGCAATGGACTAATGTTTCTAGCTGCCTTGTATGAGTAATTTCTAGTGTAAGGAGGAATTTTGACAGGCATTCTGTTTCTGACTGTCACTCTGGAGATTGCTAGTGGGAGCATAATGAAAACACCAGTCTACTGCAGAATAATGGACTCCCATTGCTTGCAGCAGCAGCTTCCAAGTAATTCGGCGTTTGGGGACTTTAACAGCACCTCCATTTTTATTTAATTCAAAGGGATTGTGAATATAAATCAGATGTAATTGCATAACTCCAGTTTAGTCAGCTGTGTGACCCTGAATTTGAGCTGGTATTGCTTGCCAAAACCATAAGGACCCATGGTTGAAATGATCAATGTTATATAAAAAGTGTGTATAAAGTATTAGCAATTCATCACCTACTAGATCAGTGTTTCTCAAATGTGCTCCTCCAGGTGTTTTGGACTTCAGCTCTCAGAAATCCCAGCCATCTTACCAGCTGTTAGGAATTGTGGGAGCTGAAACCCAAAACATCTGGAGGAGCACAGTTTGAGAAACTCTGTACAAGATAATGTGAACATTTTAAATCAAATTTTGAAAAACTATTACCATCACTTGATTACTGACTAGATGAAAAACAAATAGGAAGTCTTCATGAATAATTGTTTATATTTTGCAAGCAATTAAACTATGAATAAGACTTTGAAATTAACCCTTAATTCTGCACTACAGTTTCCTAGATAAAGCCCCGTCAAACATGGACATGAAAAATCAAACAAGGATTTTAGAATTCATTCTTCTTGGATTTGAAGATCTACATTATCTGAAAATTCCCCTCTTCCTGTTCTTTTTCTTCATTTACATTCTGACGTTGGCTGGAAATCTTCTCATCATCATACTTGTTGTAAGTGACCAACACCTTCACATCCCAATGTATCTTTTCTTAGGAAACTTGTCTTGCCTAGAAGTTTGTTCCAGTTCAACCATTCTGCCTAAGGTACTGGCCAGCTTCCTATTGACCAACAAAGCCATTTTGATTAGGGATTGCATGTTGCAATATTTTTTCTTCTGTGGGTTTACTGGCACAGAATGTTATCTTCTCTCTGTGATGTCTTATGATCGGTACATAGCAATATGCAAACCGCTGCACTATGCCACAATTATGAATAACAGGTTCTGCAGAAATATGGCATTTGGATCTTGGTTAAATGGATTTCTTGCCAGTGCTATTGTAGTTTTATGTATGTTGCAACTAATTTTCTGCGGTCCAAATGAAATCAACCATTTTTTCTGTGACTCGCCTCCAGTTTTAAAACTCTCCTGCAGTGACACACATGCTGTTTCCATGGTGATATTCCTTCTCTCTTCTGCATTCACATTCCCCCCTTTTATCCTTACTTTGATTTCTTATGTGTGCATCATATTGACAATTTTGAGAATATCCTCTGAAGCAGGGAGACAAAAGACCTTCTCTACATGTTCCTCTCATCTCCTTGTTGTGACAATTTTCTATGGGACTCTCATGTCTGTGTATGTGTTGCCTGAAACCAATAAGGTGATAAATCTGAAAAAGATCTTATCCCTCTTCTACACCATTTTGACACCTATGGTGAACCCTTTTATCTACAGTCTGAGGAACCAAGAAGTCAAGATGGCTGCTAGGAAACTATTTCACAAGTGTTGGACAAAAAGTTGAGCAAAACGTAACCCCCCCCCCCCCCAAAAAAATCTACAATTGCAGATCTCTTCTATCTGCCCATCATTAAACTGAATGTGTATTTGCAGAACAATTTTCAGGTTCTGTTTTTATCAATGGCTTTTTCAGAACAAGTAGGAACATGGTGTCCATTTCTGATGAACTGTGTATGTCAAGTTTAGGAAACATGATGTGGTCCCCATGGTGTTGTTGAATTTCATTTACCATCATCTCATGCCATATAGCCAACATCTGGAGGCCCAAGGAGACCCATTTTTGTGTATGATAATAGCTTGTGTGTAAATCAAGAGGGGTATGTTACTTCTAACATGGATGGACTAAATACTGCACCAGAAGACATAGCTAATGAGATGGAATTGTGACATCTCCCAATGTTACTCCCCAAAATTTTTACCTTTGAATCCTCTCAAATACGCTTATGCAGCATTTCTTTTTAAAAAATGGGAAAATTAGGCAATAATGATGATTCCGTCACTATCTTATTCATAGAGTTAGCTTATATAGACAACTGGAGGACCTCCTGTGGGATTCTGTTAGTGTGCTCTGCAACTTCTTTGGGATTAGGTGTTTTGGGAAAGTTGCTCACTATACTTTTCTCCAGCACCCCAAAAGTGACTGTACTAGCAGGTGAAATACAGATTCTTCAACACTGCAGTTATTGAAAATTATATTAGCCAATGTTTTAGGTGCTAAAGATTTTTTTATTAAATTATACTGGAATCTTCAAAACTGGCCTCAAATTATGAAATGGAAGAAGACATTAAGCAATCCTCACATTTGCAAGAACTCAAACCCCAATATTCTTTGTATATGAATCGCTTTATTAACATTGTAAGGTTCTTCCAATATATATTCTTTAATTTGATCCCAGCAAATTCAAATCATAGATATAAACTAATACCATGTTAATTATATTTTGGTTATATGTTGTGTTGGCACTAATTCTGTGTTTGGAGTAAATGATTCCATGTGCAATAGAGGGATCTTCTTACTGCTACTGCTACTGGGAATGACAGGTATGGCCAGTCAAGGCTGTAAGGGATAAGACACACACACACCCTCACACCCAAGACAGGAGAGTGGAATGCTACCACTGTATATTATATTTTCCTTTGCTGCCACCAAATATTTGGTAAGATTTCTTTTTCTGCCACCTTCTATTGATTCATAGGCCACCTCCTTGCCAGAATGTTGAAGAAGCCACACAAACTCTTCAGGTGAAATGAAACAAGAATTTGTGGTTTATTTTGTTCTTGAACAGTAAAGATGTGTAATTGGTTCAATAAACTGACAGGCTTTACAGAGAATGGTCTTTTAACTTAAGTTCCTTAAAAGCAATGTTCCACACACAGGAATGCAAACAGGTTATTGTGAACCCTTTGAAGTCTCTCTCCACATCAGCTCTCTAACACTATAGAGGCCTACTACTTTCCGCTCTCCTTCTTCCTTGGCTGCCTTAGCTCCTTCTTTTCCCTTTGGCTCTGCCCATCTTCAGTTGCCTCCAATTCCCTCCAATTTCATCAGCCAGTCAGACCACACTTCCAGCTATGAAGCTGCCTGATTGCTCCACCCATCTGCTCTCCTTCGCTTTTCCAAGCTAGGGCTGTTTACTGCTTTTACACCAACCTTGTAAGGTAGGCCAGTCCGTTACAACATGTGACAAATATTAAAATAAGATGGAAGGTTATTCTTATATCTGTATATCAATTTCCCCTTAAAGCTTTTCTTCATAGTACAGGTCAGAATCTGATCTATACACTCAAATACTGTCTAGCGGAGAGGCAGGCGGGATAGAGAGAGATAGAGAGATAACAATCAAATGCATAAATTGTTGGTTATTTATGGAGTTCCAAACTTCTTTTGCATGGATTTCTCACATGAACTTTACAAATACTGGCATAACAGTAGTGTCTCAATAAATATGGACATTGTGGAACTGCTCCGTTCTATTTTCCACAGTTAACATATGAAATAGAGGTCTCCAATGAATTCTGGCTATTCTTTGAAAATGGTTTAAGAGAAAATGTAGACTTTTCTTAAAACATTTGGAGACAAGAGATTGTATCCAGTTTTAGTCATACTTAGGACAAATGTTATAAAAATTATGGGCTCATGATTAAAAGTCTCGGATGATTTTTTTAAAAGTATGGACCTGCCAAATGTAAGTTTTCACCCATCCCACAAGTGGAAAAAGGAATAGCATGGCAAATAACATTGAGCAGAGCTTACAAAAGGCTTAAGAAAATGTTGGCCAGAATCTCATGACCTAACTATGAGATAAAATATTATTGAGATTTTTCATCGCCTGCAAGATTCTTTTGGTGTTGTTCCTCACATTTGTTTTTGCTACTTCCAGTAGATCTTTGATATCCTCTTCCGTATAAGAAAGTTTAACGGTGGAATATCTTTCTCTCCAATCTTCCACTTTATCTTTCAAACAACAGCAATGAAGAAAAGTAAAAGAGCACCAAGTTATGAATATTGAAAATGTGTTTAAAAACATATTAGGGCTGTGCTTTTTCATAAGCCACCCACTTATAAAAACCCATTGGCTCAATAGCTGTGATTATAATACTTGTGATTAGGTAAGGGATTAGACACTGTGTCTACCATTGTGTTTACATCCCACAATATGTTGTTAATCTCACATAAGTGATGACAAAAATTCTTTCCTTTCAAAGGTTCTAGCCTTGATTTAATCTTATTAAATTAGTCTAGTCTAGTGTACTTTTAGTATGACAGTAGACTAGAAGGAATTAGAAGGGATACTAGAAGGGATATTGCTTCTTGTTTTCATCCAGTAATGCTGTTTGACAGAGTTTTAACTGTCATGGATCAGTGCTATGGAATCCTGGGATTTGTAGTTTGGCAAGGCACCAGCAAAGACCATGGCAGTTAAAGTGGAGTCAGAGTACACTATTTCTACAGGGTAAATGCACATTTACTCAGGGATAGAAATGCAGTGTTTCTCTGATGTTGTTTAACTGCAACTCATAGTAGAAATAGCCATTATAATCACACATAGGAAGTGCTGAGTTGCAATAGACCAATATGAGAAGGGCACCAATTCCAAATTTGGCCTAAAAGTTCATCTGAAAACTTCTTGTATATCCAACCTGTTTCTTTCCATTCTTCACATATTTCTCATTGGAAGTCCTTAACTATCTAATCTTGAAGAAATTTCCATCTCCCTAGATACTGGTTCTCAACCTGTGAGTCCCCAGGTGTTTTGGCCTACAACTCCCAGAAATCCCAGTCAGTTTACCAGCTGTTAGGATTTCTGGGGGTTAAAGGCCAAAACATCTGGGGACCTACAGGTTGAGAACCACTGCCCTAGAACTCTATAGATTCAATGTTTCTTTAAGCTTATTAAGCTCTATTTACTTAAAGTCCAGAATGTGCATCTCACTGTGCTGAATAAAACATAAATCTTCCAGATTCAAATCCAAAATTAAGGCACACTAAAAGTAATCCATGTTTAGACAAGCTTAGACGGAGCCACTACAAATGATTCAATGTAATTATTAATTACTATGTTTAGTCTAATTAATTTCAGTAGGCCTCATTTAAACATGAATATATATGGACCCCAGCCCATGCAATAAATATATAACCTATTAAGGATATCCAAGATGTCACAAAAATACCTCTGCAGTTCCCTGTATTGAAGAGTGGGAAGTGCATGACAACTGGGGCATTGTTGCCTTGGAAGATGTAGCAATCAGAAGGGTTGTCTTTACTCTTTTCCAGCTCTGAGACATTAATATTGGGGAAGGGAAGTTGACTTTCCTTACAATACAAGGCTGCATCCTTGACAGTCTGTGAAAACAGAGAAATGGGAGGAAGCAACATGGAGTAGACCCTCTACTTTTGTGGAGATTAGAGGAACAGAACCCCAATGAAAGTGAGAAAACCTGGATTTAAAATATCTAAGAGACCCACTCTCTAGGAACCTGTAGTCCTTCAAGTTGACTCTCAAGTCAACTTTCTCTGGAGGACCTAAAGATTCCTTCAGATAACACCTCCACCAGAAAGGACTATAGAGTCATCCTGGAGAACCTAGCAATTTCTAGAGAGAACATGTTAATTAAATTCACAAATAATCAAAACATCAAAAGTAGTCTGAATTCTTCACTTACATTCTACCATTGTCTCAAGCATGACCAGATGATTTTTTTTAAGAATGTGGAGGTTGACTTTAGATCAAGTTCCTCCTTGTGTTGTTGTCACCCACTTTGTGTGCCACTCCCACTGTTTCTTAGATGAGGGAGTGTAACCTCTTTGCCTTAAGCTTGTCTATCTAAAATAAAGTAGAACTCCTTGGAGTACATCATTTTGGTCACCTAATCCCAAAGATGAAAACCGCACTATTGTAAAGTAAGGATAGCAACAGCAACATTTCTTTTAAGCTGTGCCTTTTCAAGAATTTTTTATAATAGGAGAATTATAATGTGGCTATATGTGTTGTTGTTGGTGTTGGCTATATATACTTAGCAATTAAAACAATTACTATATAAATCTAGAAATTTTAGTTAAAAATTGTCCTTCACAACCTAGGTCAATTTTATCCACAGGTCAATGTAAATATTGTGGCCTAACTCTTGTCAAATAAGGAACCACTCCCTTATTGAAATGAAATGGCAAAAAAGTGAGGGAGTGTATCCTAGGAGAATATCTTCTCTGCACTTATTTATTATTATTTATTTACTTACTTTATTTGTATACCACTGTTCTCAGCCCTTAGGCGACTCACAGCGGTTAACAACAGGAAAAGCAAAAATTCAATGCTACAAGAACACAATATTTAAAAAACAACTGACATCATAAACACATTAAACACATTGAACAGTTAACAGCAATAACCATTCACTGGCATCTCATAACTGAAAACATGATCCAAATTCGTCATCCATTGTTCCATTCCTATGATCACTTATCTGTGCTGCCAACACGCTGTTGGCACAGAGTCCCCTGGAGTCCATCAGATGACACAGGACTACTTCCAGTGGTGCTCCATTGTGCTCCGTGCCAGCAATGTGCAGAGCCCAGAGGAGTTGGGTTTACACCTGACTCCTCAAAGAAGAAGCCAAGGGGGAAGTGGGAGGAACCTGGGGACAGCAAGGAAACTTCATGGGAAGGGATCCCACAACCCACAACGGTAAGGGAATGCAGCATTATGCTGCCCCAGGGTTTCCGCCGCTGTCCCCCAGCTTCTTGGTCTCAATGCGATGAGGACTACTCCCTTTTAATTTTTCTGCTGCAGCACCGCTTCCAGACTGTTTGAATGCCTGGCCAGGAAAATGGCAGTCACAGGAGCTAAGGAGGTCCCCCCTCCCCAAGAAAGCACTGCCATTTCCCAGTTTCACGGAATGATCCTCTATCACAGGATCAAACATGCCCTTATACATTTTTTTCTTGTTTTATCTTATCTGTTTTCTGATCTAGGGACTAAAGGAAGCTATGAAGTCGACTTATATAGAAGTATTTCTGGTATGTCAGCTACTGAATTTTATTGGCACATGGGAGGCAAGGTCCTCAGCAGGCTCCAGAGGCCTGCAATTTGCTCCCAGAGCCGTGCAATTTACCCACCTCTGATATAAAGTCTTTAAAGGGGGAATAATAAAGACAATTAGGTAATTAGGAGGGTGTGTGTTTGATGGGCAGTCCAGAGATTTAATTTGTGCCAGAGAAGAATACATATCACCTTTAATACTTGTGGCTTTGTAGCCCTTGACATTCCTATCTGGGTCATTTCATGGTGATTCCTTTGTCCTGGTGTGGAGTACTAGTTAAAATGTAGTATATATTTTTAAAGCATAACATCACAACAATCCTACCTCGAAAGGATCTCCCTCACTGAAGTCAAAGGAGAGAATGAGTTTCACCCCTCTCTCTGGACGCAAGACAAGTGGGTAAGCAGAATTGATAGCAAGACCAGCGTCAACCAGCTTAATGTCCTCATGTCTTTCCAAATCCTTGTCATTAAGTTCAGCTGAAGGAAGAGAATTTAGTATTTCCTTGGGAATACATTTCTAGGTATCACTTAAGAAATATAATCAAGGCAGCTCATTGAACAGGAGTCTGCCTTGTAACTACTGTATTACTACAGCTTTCACATAGTATATGTGTGTATATTTATATATGGGTGTACTTCTAAATATACTTACTTACATTATAATTTTCAGATTCTAATTTTTCACCTAATGACCCCAATTCCCCAATTGCTTATTAAAACTAGACATTTCGATGTGTAAAAATTAGTCTCCTCATACCACAAAAATTATCCTGACTGAGGAGTAACATTTGTATTTATTTATTTATTTACTTACTTTACTTTACTTTACTTTACTTTACTTGCCGTCCCCTGCCATGCGTTGCTGTGGCCGAGTCTGTATATGTGTTTTGAGTGTGTGTATATGTGTGTATATGTGTATATATGTGTGTTTCCATAGATAGATAGATAGACAGATAGATAGATAGATAGATACATACATACATACATACATATATTTTACATATACACATGCATACATACACACATACACTCATATACATATACACATGCACACATATATACATACAGTCACCTCTCTCTCTCTCTCTCTCTCTATATATATATATATATATATATATGCATACAAACACACATATATACACATGTACACAAATATATAGATAGATAGATGGGTGTATATGTGTGTGTGCATATGTGTGTATATATGTGTGTATACTTGTATATATATTTGTGTATTTCTGTGTTTATATGTGTATATGTATATTATGTATATGTGTGTGGTTGTGTATATATGTGTATGTATGTCTATATGTATATGTGTGTATGTATGCATGTGTATATGTAAAATATATGTATGTGTGCATGTATGTGTGCATGTGTATAGGTATGTGTATATTTGTGTGTGATTGTGTATATATGTGTGTGTGTGTATAGAGAGAGAGATGTGTGTGTCTGTCTGTATGTATGTGTGCATGTGTATATGTATATGAATATATGTGTATATGTATATATAGTTTATTTTCAGGGGTTTTAAGTCTGTTCTGCTGGGTTTTTAATGTGTTTTGAGGGGTGATGGACACTCATTGGCCTGATAGGTGTATTGTGTCCACATTTGGTGTCAATTCGTCCAGTTGTTTTTGAGTTCTGTTGATCCCACAAACGAACATTACATTTTTATTTATATAGATTTCTATACCGACTTTTTCCCCATAGGGACTCAAAGTGGCTAACAATAACAGGACACCAGTAAAAATGTAAAATAAGGCAAATACATTTTAAAAAACAATTAAATATGTTTCTATGAATATAAAGTTAAAATACAATTCATGCAATAAAATTACATTTAAAGTCCAGGATTCCCACAAAAGCCTACCACTCATCATCCCACCCCCATATGCCTGGAAGCAGAGATATGTCTGGATCTGCCTGTGAAAGGCAAGCTGCATTTACACATTTATACTGCAGTGTGTGTTATGTCCACATGTTTCTTACTGCATTTATAGAGATAGTTAGAGATGGTCCCCCATTTCCATTCGAAAAGACAAGACACGGTTTTTCTCAGAATTCTCAGTGTATCCCAAATGCCTAAGATAGGTAATGAGATTAAAAATGGAAAAAAAATGTTAAAGACTTCAAGAAGTGCCTTAATATTCTTAATTTATATACCATAACCGGATTTAATTTCCATGATAAAGTTGTGAAACAAAACTCAATAGAAATGGGAACCCCATCATAATTTCTTAATACGTACTGACTTCAATCCTTAGTATTTTCACTAGAGTAGAAACATTGCATTTATTTATGAGTGACTCACCATTCAACAGTTGATTTAATGGGATTACTCTGAGAGAATTCCAGTCATTATGTGGATGTGGTTTATCACATCAGCTGTGGTATACAATGGCTTTTGTATAATGAACAATAAAAAATTTAGGGAAAAGAGACAATACATTATATCAAAGAATTATGACTAAACAGAAACTCAAAAAGTAGATATTGCAATTAAACTATCCCTTTCAGGAACAAGAAAATATTTTCAAAGTACACCTCAGAAACCATTTGTAATGTCTCAGAATCTATTTTTAATTCTTCTCAATTGCAATTGCTAACTTTCCTCCCAACTGCTAATCATGCAAGGACTGAATTCACAGTTCAAATACTGTGGATTTTTTGGCATTTCAATCACACAGTGCTTGAACCCAATGAGTATACTCACTTCTTTTTGTTTCGTTGTGGATGATGTGTTGGAATCTCTCAGCTGTCAAAAGAAAAAAAATCACGCAATCATAAAAGACAAAATGCACTGTAATGCTTACATAAGCAAACAGTGATATTGTCTTTCTTATTCACCAGAAATGAGCAATACATAGCAATGGACAGGTTGCTTTCTTGCATCTCCTTGCCCTGGGCTATGAAAGGTGTGGGGATCTCATACAAGTATTGTGATTTGAAACTTATTGAAATCCCATTTGCCAAAATGAACAAACCCTCCCTATAAAAGAGGAACATGGGGTGTTTGCCCAGCCTTTGATCACCATTTGTATTTTGGGACCTTCTTAGAAAAAAACAATTTGAGCAAAAATACACATTTTTTTTCTGTGCAAAAAATATATTTGCAGAAAGAAAAATGTATGAACAAAATACTTTGATTCTAGTGCAACAATACTGATGCATTATCATCATCATCATCATCATCATCATCATCATCATCATCATTATTGTCTCCACAACATGAAAACTAGTTGTGTTTTTACACAGGAATTCATGTAGAAATTGCATTAAATTGGACATAAAATTGGGCAAAACATTGTACAAATCGTATAAAGAAATTGTAGTTTTCCTCCCTGTGCTTTTTGTGAAAATAGGAATTATTCTTGTTGCAAGAATTGATTCCTTTCTCCAAAATAGATCTTTTATAGTTCAAAATGTTTTTTTTTCTTTGTAGGAAACTTTGGGTGGTTTTTATTTTACAGATCCATCTCCCTGCTCCCATCCCTTTCATCAAAGTATAAGAAGTATTTTATACTTCTATATACTAACTCTCTATCTGTTTATCTACTTGTCATCTGTCAATTTGCATTGACAGTGTATCTGTCATCGTCAATTTATGCATTCTTAACTGTCATGGTGAATTGCGACCAATATCTTTGGTACCCGTACCAAAAAGAAATTCATACTGCTTAAGGTAATCTGTGAATATATTCTTCCCATGTTTGAAAAAAATAGTTTTCCATTCTTTTCATGCATCGTTGACACAAAATCAAGCATTTTAAAGTCATATTGATTTCATGGAAGAAGAGATTCTTGCTTTCCAACTGAAATAAGTCAAATATGTTACATTTTGGCTGGGCTATGTTCTCATTGAAATATGGCTAAAGACAAGGAGGTGGGGAGAAAGAAAAACATTATAGTAGAGGAATAAATATGGTCCGTTTGGAGCCTTTCTTTTCATCTTGGATATGTATGTTAGGTGAATCCCAAGATGGGCAATTAAATGCAGGTAGGAAGTACATTGCATTTCCACTCCAGCAGAGGTCTTACCACTGCTGATATTTTGGAGACACCATAGCTAGTGCTGAAATTCATCACCATTTACTCACAGACAGAAAATCTTATAGGCTTATCTCATACTTTGCTCAGTATAATGCAAGAATTCCACTGGAACTTCACTTTGGCTCTCCACTTAACTGGTTCAAGTGCAATACTGTCTTCAACTAAGGTCTGTCAGGGACCTGGTGAGTGATGTCATCAGGTGAAAAAGAATGTTAAGACTTGCATATGTCACTAATAGAATGCCAGGCATTCTCTGCTACACTGATGACTGGGCACAATGTTGATCCCACATCACCATGACCTCCTTGTTAGAATTTTTTTTAAAACTCTTTAATGCACTCCACCATTATATTCCTTTCCAACCCTATACTCACAGAATTCTGTTATCAAATATGAATGATGGTCTTGCATGGTCTGGGGCCAATGTATCTGAGGGACCACCTCACCCCCTACCAACCCCAGAGATCCCTCCGTTCTGAGGACCAAGATCTATTGGAAATTCCCAGTGTCAAGACCTTGCGTCTAACAGCAACCAGATGGAGAGCCTTCACAGCAGTGGCACCATCACTCTGGAATATTCTGCCACCTGAAGTCTGTGCCTTGCGGGACTTACCAGCTTTCCGCAGGGCATGTAAGACATACCTGTTTCGACAGGCTTTTAATGTTGGATATTGCCATTTTAAAATTGTTTTAAATTGCTTTTAAATTTTGTTAGATTTTAGCCATTCTTGTAAGCCGCTCCGAGCCCCAGGGGAGTGGTGGCATATAAGTCCAAATAATAAATAAATAAATAAATAAATAAATAAATAAATAAATAAACAAGCGTCATTGGAGATACTCTGTTGATCTGCAGGAGCAGAGTGGGAGAATGTACACTCATTCTAAAACTGCTACTTGCCTTCTAGAAACTTCGTCAACTTTCTAATGTGTTCATCATATTGTTCATGTGACTTCTTTTCTATGGCATTCATCAGGTGGTTAGTTACAGCTGAAATAGAATGACAGTCACATCCAGAACCTTCAAAGACAAAAAGAGAAAGAGGATTGATTTAGTTATTATAGGATACGTATATTGCAAAATTTTGAGGTCCTTTTATTTCTCCTAGCATTCACATCCTCCATTTCACTAAGTACACATTATGGATTGTCTCTGGTTTCTTCCCTATGTGAGAAGTGAGAAAAGCCTCTTGCTCCCAGTATGATACCCAGCAAGACGAATTCTGCTTGTTGTCTCATACCTAAGAAAGTAAAGGCAGTGGTCCCATTCTGCCACCAGAACAGTAGATTAGAAGGGAAGAACCATTCCCCGTCCCCACACACATGATTAATCTGCTGTGGTGAAAGTGGTAAATCCTGTAGATCAGTGGTTCCCAACATTTTTTGACCAAGGACTACTCTCCAACATGAGTACCAATAGGGTTATGAATCAGTTATTAGTCAACTTTAGATTTGGTTTAGTCATTTGGTGTGCTGGTTCAGAAAATTGCATTAGATAGATCACATCAGCTCTAGTTTCTGATACAGACATATGCCATCCAGTCGTCGCCATCTGTTCGCCCACAGAAAACCATATTTAATAATCTAAAGTTGATGTAGCAGTAGTAATTTTTGTGGGTAGTCGGTTTCTGCCCTCCAAACATCCCCAGTGCCTTGACACTATAAGAGGGTTTTACGAGACCAGTAGCTCTCGTTGCATGGTTTCGAGGCAATGGTGTAGTAATGTTGAGGCCACGGATCATATTTTCATTTTTGTGGGCCACTGGTGATCCATGGACCACAGGTTGGGAACCATTGCTGTAGATGAATATCCCACCTTATACTATCATGTCAGGTGATATTCTAACTCATTCCAAATGCCTGACTTATGCACATTTATCACTGTCCTATGGATCAATGGTATCTTACTCACCTTGTGGTTCTTCTGGTTTAGGACACCTAACATTTTCTACTTCCTTTTCTACTTCTCTCACATCTTCTCCCACTAATTCTTCATATACGAAAGCTAAAATAGGAATCTCAAATTATGAAAATGGTTAACCTTAACTGTGTATTATATCCTAGCCATCTTTGTCCATCATGGATAAAGTCTCTGACATATATGCCTTCTGCTCTTTACCACCTTTGGCAGCCTCTATTTCCCAAAAATATATCCATGATCCTTCCTTCCTCATCATCATCTAAAGAAGATGACAACGGTAGCAGGAGTGTGTGATTGAACTATAGATGCCTGGATTGAATGCATAGGGCTTCTCTGGATGAGCAGTTTAAAGGCTCCTCCCTAATCTACAAAGCCCAGAATTCTGTAATAACCACCTCCTGAAGAATTCTGGAGTTTGTAGGTTAGGGAGGGGCCTTTAAACTGCTCATCCAGAGAAGCCCTGGGCTTCCCTAAACTACAAGCCCCAGAATTCTGCAGGAGGCAGTCACAACATTTAACGTGGATTAAAGTGGAAAAAAATGCTCAAGTGTGATTAATCTAAAACTATGGATTTTTATTTGACCTCTGAAAAAGTCAAGGAGAACACTTTCTTTGCACTTTATGTGCAAAAAACCCCTTATCATTTCTGCACAGAAATATTACTTTTCTTCAAAGAAAGCATTTTATGCCTAAAATGCTACTTGCATTTTTTGTGTGCAAATGATGTTTCAAATTGTGAGTGGTTTTCCAAAGCTGTGCAGTTTTCAATTATTTTCTGGGAGTGGGAATAATGCTAAAGAGAAAATTAGCCAATAATTGTATCCCTAACTCCACAGTCATATATGTTTTATACACAAATTTCCTCCTACACTCAGGTGAATTTTGAATGACCTAATTTTGGTACATAATATGGACTGGGACACCTTTGCTGATCTACAACAAATCACTTGAAGATCTTTATCCTCCACACCACTTAGTAAATTTCAATTTACTTTCTACCCACTCTTGTAACAGCATGGATCGATGAAGAAAACTGCAGTGTTTCCATTCCTCTATCTCTGTCCCAAGCTTATCTTGCAGCCTATCAAAACATCTTTGATAACAAAATGTTTTCCTACCTCAAATATTGACTGAAGCTACATCCTTTCAAACTGACCTCCCCCACCTTTGACCTCCCCACTATGATATCTCCACACAACTTTGCAAATTATTGAATTGTAAAGGTCTCTCTCTTTCTCTCTGCAGAAATTTCAAGGAATTTTGATCACTTACCCAAATTTTTAATTTCAAAAATCAGATGTTTAATAAAATCTGAAAATAAAATTAGTGCAAACATTTTATTTTGCAAATAGTATTAGTATTATAACAGAAAAATATAGTGCCATAATTCAGGTGAGTTAAATTGAATTTGTTGTAAGTTCAATGTTACCAACTAATCCATTAATTAGAGATGGAAAAGTTTTATTCTAGTACCTTATTCAAGTCATTTCTTTCAAGGAAATATGCAAGGAGTGGGTAAGTGCACTGTGTTTTCCTCCTCAGAAATATTGGGATATTCTCCACAAAAAGGTAGACTGTTGAGGGCGAAAGCCCTAGCCCAATGGCAAAATACAATTAAATTTTCTCTTTTTTTCTTGCAATTCAAGGAGATTTTTGTTCATGGAATGAACATTTTAAATGGCAAATGGTGTACTATGATGCAAGAGGCAATGTACCAGAAGGCTTACTTTATAGATCTGTTTGTGTTCTTTCTGTAAAAAAAATAGTGATTCAACAGGACAGAAATGCACCATTGTAGGTGTTGTAGGTTAAACTATCCATTTATGTCAGAAATCTTGTGAACGGGGGTAGGAGGGAATAAACATTTAATCACATTTCTGTTCCATCCTTGTTATGGGAGGATCAGAGCAGCTAACAAAAAAATATCAATTGCGGTAGTGATCAAGACCTCCACAGTTTAAAGGTGAATTATATCCTCTGTAGAGAAGTTGTGCCAGAATGGTGAATCCCACACCTTAGAAACTTTCAATAAGTTCTTCCCTATGATTTCCCTATTTCTCCACAAATAAGATGGGGTATTTCATAGAGCCATTTTAGAACATTTCTGTATGTACTCTTCAGTCTATGGTTTAATTCTGTCACTCTCTTTACTTCTCCCTTTATCCATGTGCATTTAGAAATATTAAATGTCACATACCTTCTATAGCTTTGAAACTTGCAATGGCACTTCCCCACAAACCTGAAAGAAAAGAAGAAACTGATTTTTCAGGGGACTGATTGTGGTTTGCAAGAAAGTACTGTTTCTAGAGGAAAGTATTAATGTTTCATTCAACAATGGACTATTGGATTTATTTTTCAAGAATGTAAAAGTTACAAAACAAGTATCAAAGACAAAAAAAACATAAGAGTTTCCTGGAACTCAGAATGAAAACAGAACAATGGGAATCAAAGTAAACAAAAGGAGACTTGAATTTAATTTAATAGCATTCTGCAATGGAGAAAAAATGCTAATTCATACATAAAGTTTGTACATAACTTAAAAGATTGAGCAAACTAAATGAAGCAAACAGATTTTTGTAAGCAAAATATTTCTCACGTTCAGCAAGAAAATGGTAAAGTAAGTTAATCGCCACCATCTGTTACTGGAACTAAGAATTCACTAGCCTGAATTGTATTGGTTAGTCCACAATGAAATAAATGTATTGAATTAACATGTGTGTAAATCATATTTATTCAATGTGTCTAGTTTAATGGGACAAAATAGAATTCACACCATAATGATTTGGTGTAATGGATTTGATACTGTCAGAGAGTTATTCTAGGCATAATAGGAAGGTTCATAAAAAAGAATGCATAATTTTACCAATTATTTCTTCACTACAAGAACATTCAATTCATGTAGAGTTCTCACCACACTCCCATTAAATCTATTAAAGAACCTATTACAGAACTACCTCTCAAATAGGAAATGCTTTTTTCTTCCTTAATTTCTTTTAGTTTGCCATTCTCAAATACACTTCCAAACAACCTCATATCCACAAATGCTCCACGATGAATGAATCCCGCTTCATCAGGAGTAAACTCAAACCATATATCTTTAGAGGGGGAAAAAGGAAGAGAAACAAGACATAAATATGATTGAGAGTTGTTAGAAACTTGCTTTCACAGTATAATGTGCTTTCTCAGCATTGAGCTTTTGTGTTACCTGATCCTAACATTACGCAATTTCAATGAATGTCTAAGGTTTTTGTGGTTTTTTTCTGAACTATTCTTCACATACTAGTCAAAGATGGGGTACACCTGTTATTGTTAGACAACTAAAATAAAAGCAGGACAATGACATAGAATGGACACATCACATGACTGACTCAGGGCCCATCCAGGCAGTCCCAAAATGCAAGACCTGTCTTGTTTTTACCGGAGCCATCCAAATGACGGCTCCAGTAAAAATGAATTGGTTTGGAATAAACCAAGTTTTCCTTGGTTTGTTCTGAATTAATCAAATACCTCATTAAATCAATGCTTTTGTGATCAGGGTCTAATAGGTTCCACAATCCCAGGGTAAGTCCCAACAGCCATCCTGCACCTTTTGGGCTCCTGAAGCCCAAAGGTGCATGAGGGCACCCACTCCCTCCCCCCAGCCCCTAATATACTCCTAAAAGGTCACTGACTGTCACAAAGCCTCTTCTTGCATCCTCCTGGCATGTGAAAATGATGCATGAGGAGATGGGGGCAAGGAGGAATTTTCCTCCTGTCTCCTCAGGCATTATTTTCTTCTGTCAGGAGGACACAAGAAGAAGATATATGGAGGCCAGGAACATTTTAAAATAAGGTTTAGGGAGAAATGGGGAGCTTCAGATGGCTTCGTGCCATCTCAATTTTAATCAGGATGGCATGTAGCTGCCACCACCACCCCATCCCACGGAAATCCTGTGGTTTGGGTGGGTGTGTGGAGACTAGAACCTGCACCGAAGCTGGTTATTTTAATCAATTTCAGCACGGATTTTACTTATGTGGAAGGGCCCTCAGAGAGAGAACAAATATATATAGATATGATTCAGGCATGATTAATACTGTAATCTCATATAGATTTCAACTGGGAAGCTCTGCATTATGAGAAATAGTCAAATATAGGCATAACATTTACCTGGATGAGTTTTAGAATTATTAGCTAATTTGTTTGAATCTACTGCTGCATAGATGGGGTAAGGCACTTTCCCATAAGATGAAACTCTCCTTTCTTCAGAAAAATAATGATAATCCAGCTACAGAGAAAAAACTCATTAGCAATTGGAAAATATTAGATGTTCATCTCAACATGTTAACTCTAGGTAAATATTCTACAACAAAGAAGGAGAATGACAGTAGATAATTTATTTTCAATAAAAATGGATGATGTAGATATTTTAAAAGCTTTTAAAAATCTATATTTTGGCTCCATCATTGATCAGAATGGAGGCTATTGGCAAGAAATTAGAAGGCAAAAACCAGGAAAGGAAGGCATGAAGGAACCAAATAAGATCACATCACACTTCAAACCTGGTTTGGAACATCTAAATTAGCTTATCTAATGATGGTAAGTGAATATTCTGTATGTGTGTGTTAGAGAGAGTGTGTGTAAATATTTTGTGGAACAAAAAATAAACAAATGGAACGAAAAGTATTAAAAATACGATTTTATTACTCACCTCATGTAACATTGCATTCACAATAACGTTACCCCAAAAATCAGTCAAGGAGTATGTATCATCTTTACTTGGTTCTACCAAGGCATCAAAAGCTTTCTTGGCACTCCAGGCTGTGTTTGTAAGTTGTTCACACAACTTCTTTTCCAAATTGGGAAGCTGTGTCACCCACTCCTCATGCTCATAGATATATGACATACACCTTGAAAAATACAAAATCCAACAAACAGAGATTAGGAACAATTTTTTAAAAATTAAATGAAAAACACCTACAGTTTCCAAACACAAGGTTGAAGTAATGATGCCTAGAAATGGGGTCTTTACAAATTCTAATGCAAAGCCCCACTTTCTACTCATCAAACTTATGTACGAAAATGAATGAGAATATAGAGAAGGTTTGACCCCTGAGGTGTTGTTGAGAAAAACTCACAATCCTTTGTCATCAAAAAATACATAATTAACTTGCTGTGAAACATGCTTTCATGCTTTCTCAATTGTTTTCTGCATTTGAATGTAATGTAATTTATTCATACAAGATGCCAGAACTCCTACCTTTGGGAGGAAAGATAAAGATGGTCCATGACTGAAAGTTATTGATTGAAGAATAGATTTTATAGTTATTGATTGAAAAATAGATTTTATAAATAAAGTTATTGATTGAAGAATAGATTTTATCCTGATCCATTAAACAAATTACACATAAATAAACGCAAGGGCTGAGTTTTAAAAATTCGCACATCTCTGATGATTAAAAATGACTTCCATGCAAATGGGGAGTATCCCTGCTGTCAAAGCATAATGAGATATCCCTAAATTTTAAGAAAATGGGAACAAACAAGGCCAACTCATCTTGCATTCCATGGATATGTTGAGGTGTGTGTTTGCATCTGTGTCTGTCCACCTGCATTTTTACCTTTCAGTCATGGACCATCTCTCTTCCAAGGAGCATTGCCAGAAAAAAACAAGCTGTACTGAGTGCAGATCTAAACACATATTTCTCAGCATCACTGACTACCTAAGCAATACTTACCACTTCATCAGATGGGCAAAATTGCCTGTCATACGATGTTTCCTCTTCACTTTTGCCATGGAGCCCACTGGCTTCCATCCCAAAATATTGATCTACTTCTGGTGGAGCTCCATGGTAAAGGTCAAGAGGAAGTGTCATATGCCACTGCAACAAAGAAAATTTCTTTGTATTGCATAGCCAACAACAGGGGGAAGCTCGGCATTGGACACTTCCCCCCATGGGATGGGGTAAGAGGGAAGCCAGGTGATGCAGGATGTAGGGTAACAGTTTTCCCCTGCTCCCCTCCAGGCCCCACTGGATTCACCACAATTTGAGGTGCATCCTTTAGCGAATGTAATGAGGACTTACACTTATAATAGGTATATCTGCACTGACCACTTAGATCAGTGAAGGGTCACATCATTCTGTGGTGGCCAAATGCTGCATGGAATTGATCCGGGATAATGCAGGGCAAGGCCACATCAACACAACCTTGTCCTGAATTAACCACAGTCTGGGGATAATCTGAATTAGGTCAGTATAATGAGATCTGCACAATGAGAGCTAGAATTTGTTTTGGAAATGTATTGGCATGAAAAGAGACAGTTGTAATCAAATCATTGCCTTCTCATTCAGCTGATACTACTTCTTTATGTACTGATCTCAATCGTACATAAAAACAGCTCACTTCCACTTACCAAGTAGAACCAGATACTCCACAGAGATACGTGACAGCATCCAATAAACCTTGTTTCTGAAGTTCCGCCAGAACACCCTGAAGTGCAATCATGGCTCTCAGACCACCACCTGAACCTAATATAGCAATACTGGGGAGACTACTCTGTTGGAGGAGGGGAAGAAATACAAAATATTATTACAGTTTGAGCATTCCTTATCCAGAAATCAAAGGTATTCCAAAATTATCAACATGGGTGGTTAAGAAAGTGACATCTGTACTTTTTGATGGTTTAAGGTGCACAAACTTTGCTTCATTCAAAAATTATTTTAAAATATTGTGCATAAAATTACATGCAGGTTATTATGTATAAAGTGTATATGAAAACATAAATGAATTTTATTTTTAGACTTGGATCCCATCTTTACCCCCATAATATTCCATTAAAAAATTCCAAAACATGGAAGACTTCTGTTCCCAAGAGTTTCAGATAAGGAATGCTCAACCTGTATTATTACAAAATGTACACATAATATATTCTTTCAACATTATACCGTTACAGGTACAACGAAGAGCTTAAAAATCAAGTAATTGTTTCTTGATTTTGTGGGTTCTGGAACTATACTGCTAGAGGATTGTAATAATAACCCTATCTATAACCGCATTGAGTCGCCGATTTAGGCTGAAAAATGTGGTATAGAAATAAAGCAAATAAATAAATAAATAATATAAATATTCTATATATTGTTTTCCCACTAAAACACAATAGTATGTAAAATTATGCCAAATGAATACATTAATTTAAGATTGTCATATTTGTCTGAAATATACATTTAAGATTTCATCCTTAGGCACATTCAGATTCTTTTGAAATCAGTGTGAAATGTTAGGTATAACTAAAGTAAACCATATTGATGTTAAAGAAAGCTTAGTTTGAATTAATCTAGACCTAATTTGCTGAGTTTCAGTATTTAAGTTTCTCTAGGTACTGCCTTGGAATTGCATGTTCATTGGCATCACCAGATTATTTAGCATAGAGCACATTGCTTGATCTAATACATAGGTCATAGCTTTTTACCATAGTGCAATTCATCCCAAACTTCTGAAGACAATTGTACACTTCAGTTTTTCTTCTAGCAATTGTTGCTTTTTCTTTATCTGATATATCTCTAGAAATACGGAATGTATCACTAGTTGACAAAGGAAAAAAGGAGTGAAAAAAATATTAGCACCATCAAGAATGACTCTTTATCATCATCTGAGTGAAGTTTCCATTCTAGTCATCTGTTATGTCAATGAATAGCTCACTTGGAAAATTCAAGTATTGTAGAAACCCAGAATGAAAATTATCATTGATGAAATTACATTTCTGCTATTGTTAAGTGTCTGCATCATGAAGTTTTTATGACATAGGATGTTCAGTGGACTTCCATCTCTGGTCTCAAAAGTTTTCATTTAATATCAAATACAGTACATTGTATGATTGCTTCCCGTCCTCCCCTCTCTCCCAAAATCTTCTACTGTATGTATTAGAGTTGGTTAGGTTCACTTCGTTAAAACCTTAAATTTGTTAAAACCTATTGAATTTGGTCTTTTGAATCAATTTTGAACCATGCAAGAAAAGTAAGAGGTGTAATTACGATTTGAACCACTTACCCTTTTTATTCATAAATATTTCGTAATGTTCGGAACTCTCCCAAGGTTATTTTAATTTTCACAAGCATTAAGCAAGTTTTGTAAAGTTTTGCTTCCCCTCCCGGCCAGCGATGCAAAGAAGGGATGAGGTAGGCATGCCTAAGCACTGCCATTGTTGAGGTTTGTGAAGCGAAGGCCCCCAATGGTAGAGATTGCAAAAGCCCTGTTGTTAAACTACATTTCCCACTCTGCCTTACTGTGCATTAGCCAAAATGGTTGAGCAGCTGGCTCCTCCTCCTCCTCCTTTTCTGCATTACCAGCTGGATTCTCCCTCTGAGTTTGCATTCAAACTGAGTTTTCCTCACTCCTCCCCCCACTTCTCATCCCAATCTCAAGGTTTGGCAACTGGGAGTTTAGCCAGGCAGGAGGTAGCCTCTGCTCAACAGGATCAAGCCAATGCTGGGTTTAAAAAAAAGGAAAGGGGGAAGGCGGGAGAAAATTGGGAAGGGAGAAAGGAGAGGGTGCTTTCTGTTATAGATCAGTGGCACGAAAGATTGATTGGGATATTGGTTAAAGCAACCAATTTTGGAAAGGAAGGAGAACCTGTCAGAAGCACCTTCCTTCCCTTCCTTGCCTTCCTCCCTTCCTTCCTTCCTTCCTTCCTTCCTTCCTTCCTTCCTTCCTTCCTTCCTTCCCTCCTTTCTTCATTCCCTCTCCTGCCTCCCTCCCTCCAGGTGGAACAGGCAGATCTTATCAAGGAACCACTTCCAAATGTGTTGCCTCAATGCTACACAATTCTGGAAGCTGTAGTTTTGCATGGTTTTTTCATTTCCCAAAGAGTGTCATACTACAAACTCAAGGATCCCGTAACATTGAACTGTGGCGTGGCTGCATCTAATCCAAACTTTGCCCCCTCCAGATGTTTTGGATTTCCACTCCCATTATTCCGAACAGCCTGAAGCCCACTGCCTGGCTGAAGCCCGGCAGCTGGAGCCAAGTGGCACCTGAGGGGGCGTCACTGCCTCCTCCTCACCATTGACAGCCTAGGCAGGCCTGGAGTCGAAGAGCCCCTCAGTCAGGAGTGGCCTGAGTGGAAGAGTCCCTGAAGTTTCCCCAGTGCCAGTGCTGTTTTTTCCTACTGCACATGTGTATCTGCCATTAACGAAGCTGTTTCGGAAGTTTTGGAAAGTTTTGAAAAAATTTTTTTTAAGGAAGTGACTTTAGAATCGAACCACCGAAATGAGTTTTGAACCTTTTTTTTTATCAAACAAGCCATACTAGGGTATATATATAAACCCATGCACATCTGAACAGTGTCTACAATACACTGTAATTGTTCCCCATTATACTATTTTTCACTTCCACCACTACCATTGCAGTAACCTCCCATCCTTTGGATTGAAGACATTCATATACAACCTTGTCCTCCCAGTAAAACATTCACCAATTCTTCTCTCTAGCAAAAAAAATCATCATCCAAAAATCACACACAAAAATTCTAACAAAGACCAAATTCTGGAGCTTATTCAAAAATGTTTCCCCTTCTTCCCACAGAGTTCAAAGATAGTTCCCATTCCTTAAGATAGTTGTTCTCTATTTCCTCCCTATTCATCCTAGCCCATTTATTCACATCCCTCATTCAAAAAACGTTCACCGTCTAGTTTCTTCTTTTGCTTTTCTTTTTTTTTTCTCCTTCACCACAAGTCCCTTTGCAGTGGGTTTCCATCACTGAATGAGCCTTCAGTCATGGTTTCCTAGATTTCTAGTCCTACATTCAAAGGATTGCACTACATGGGCAATGAAATTATTGGGAAAAGAAGAAGAGTCACAGAAACTAACTAATTTGTGTAACTTTTATTTCACCTGTATTTCACTTTAGAATGGATACTAAGGACCTGATCACATTAAGCTTTTTCCCAGGCAAAGAATACTTCATCTACATTTAAAGGATGAAGAAGCATGAAGCCCATCGCATGACATTTGCTTGCTTACTTCCATTCGTCATATGTTCCCCTTCATCTTCTATATCTAATTGAAGTGTACTGAAAGGAGGGAGTTCAGGCAGGTGAATAATCATGCTCTGAGCCCCTGGCACATGCCAGAATCATTGCTAGCTCCCAAAAACACATGTGTTGGGTTTAGGCCATGTGTAATTGTTTCAGTGATGTGGAGGAATGGGCATTTCGCATCACTTCGCTTTCACTGCGTTTTCTCTTAATAGTAATCTAGACTCAAAATTGTGCTCTTGCTAGCTTTTTTTAGTTTTCCCTATTTGAAGTTTCCCTGGGGATTCTCCATGTGATGATTTGAACCGTGGGCAGAAAACTGGTGAAAAACCGAAGAGGGAAACACGTGTGATGGAAGACAGAACTTGAAATGGGACGATTGGGGATTGAAAGTTATTATTTCTTCTCATGGTCTATGTGATGAGGTCAGAAGTTAACACATCAAATGTCTGTTTCTGCTTCACTGCTAATACTGAACTAACTACAATGATGGTGGAAAAATAGTGATTTTAAAACAAATGAAACAAGGAAAAAGTATGCTTCTTGGCTCAGTTCAAGAGCAAGCAGCAAGGTAAGTGAGAAAAATCAATAGTACAAATGCACAGTAACAAAAGCACTATCTGCAAATACTTCGTTCTTTTTCTACATTTTGAAGACATCCAAAGAAAAATTCAAACTTTAGTATAAATAATCTCCTTTCAGAGAAAAGTTAAGTTAGTTCTTACTATGCTCAATGACAACCCTCAGTTTCTGTACACCACCACTGATTTTGCAAGAAATCTGGTAATTATTAGTTAGCAAACACCATTTGGATAAAAGTGCACTTTTGTTTAGAACAGATACACACAACCTCTGCCCTTTAGAGATTAATGCAAGCTAACTGTTATATTTAATAGCTCACAAAAATAAGTGTCTTGCTTGCCTGTCTGGGCCCCTTTAAACAAGGAATATTGTTAATCACCCCATCAATAAAACACTTGGATCTAAAGAATTTTATTGTATTCAGCAAGGAAGCTATCACATGTAAGGCAAATAAGATTACTATTCACTTAAAAATACTGAATGCACCTACACTAGTGGAAAATTAATGCTGATTTTAATTGTGATGACTTGGTGCTATAGACTCCTGAGAGTTGTAGTTTGGTGAGGCTCTAGCACTCTGGCAAAGACTTTGTAAAACAATACTTCCCATGGCATTGAGCAACGTCAGTTAAAGTGGTGCCACACTGCATAATTCTACAGTGTAAATGCACCCAATGAAATTATTTGCAACACACTGATCGTATGGTAGGATAATTTTTGGATTCCTGCCCCCAATATTATTTCACAAAGTATCCTTTCAGTCACTACCTGCTAGATTCAAAAGGTCCTGTTGGACTTTCTTAGCAATATAACTTTATATACTTTATAGATATTAAAATGTCTATAATTAATACATGTAGATGATATGGAATTTTAGGAGCAAAGTATTTATGTCCACTATTAGTTACAGATAGATTGTTCTCCCCTGATTTCCTCATATATGAAACTGTGCATTCAAAGGATTATTACGCACATTCAGAGGAATCATACTTGGGACCTATGTAATGCCTCATTTTAATAGATCAACCAGAAGTCATGGTAAGGATTAGTATTAGTATAACCTACAATGAATGGCTTGTCTTTCAGCCTCCAAGTAGATTCAGTTGGGATGGAAAAGTATAGTGAACCCAAACTAGAACAGGTGTCAGCCCACATTGCATTTGGCAACTGCCCAAGGATGTGAGATGCTAATGTTAAGAGCTTACTGCACTGTAATAGAAATAATCCCTGCCCATCTTGATTTTTATTTTTAAGTAATCTGATTTTTTTTTGCTTTCTTGCAGGAGTGAAGCACAGCTGTTGCACCTGTCAGGAAATATATTTCACTTTAGCAAGAACCAAGCTCCCCCGGCCTAAAATAAAACCTTTACATTTTTTTTTCACAAAAATCATAGAAGAATACACAAAATATCCTAATCTTGCTGATGGGGACGGACTTTTTGACTGCTTACATTTTTGTTTGGATGAAATGAAACAAGCATATAACAGAATTAAACAACCGTTTTGGACTGTTCCACATCTACACATACAAAAGAGGGGGGGGGGATATCTGTGTGAGAAGCATGATATTTTTCTAGACAGCCACCCATTGATTTAAGCATGCTTATGAAGATTTCAAAGTCATATGTTGCTGTCTTCTGAATTTTTCAAATGTGTGCATGCTATTGGTCCCCACCTCTTTCTATGTTCAGAATATATCACAAGGAACCTATGCATGAATTTCTGATTGCAAATTGCATTTATATCCCCATTAGTCTTGGGAGTTGGAGGATGGATAAATTTATAGGGGGGGGGGGAAGCTTTGAGAACTGCATTTTTCAGCCATTCTTAATTTCATGAATATTAGTCATGTGATTGAAAAATAACACATTTGTCCTATTCACATTACCTTTTCTTAAAAGCCATTTCTCCATTAACTGTTCCGTTTTCCTTGAAAAGTATAAAAGATAAAAATAAATGATGAGGCTCAACTATGCCACTCACAGGGAACATAAACTCTGTATTTCAATGCAATACAACTTTGTAATGTTTGGTGAACTCAAACAACTGGAATAAAGCCATATGATTGGGCATACAGATATAGAAATGAAGTCACCCAGACAGCCATTTTCCAGCTGCTTGATTTCATTCAATTTCCCCTCCCCTCTTCCTATCCTCTCTACAAATTAGTCAACATTCAATTGCCACTCTTCATTGTACTGTTTCTGTGTTCCCCCTGGGGCAATTATTTCTGAAGGCGTGGCAAATTCATTCTGGTTTTTTCTTCAACTTCTTCCACAACTGCTCCATGTTGAACAGAAACTCTGCCAGCAATGACACATTATACTTCACAATTTGCTGGAGGCAACTGCTGGTGGAGAGATGATAAAACCCACAGTAGACGTACTGCTTCATCAGTTGTGGATCCAGTGCTGTTCTTGGCATCTCTATCTTACGGCCCCCCTCTCACATATGTTAACCTTGTGGTATCTCAACTCTACTGATTACTGAACGTTTGGGATGTTGACAATCATCTATGTCAAGCCGCTTTGAGTCTCCTTCAAGAAGGATAAAGTGGGATATAATATAATATAATAATCTACAGCATGAAGTTATGATTAGGATATAAGACCAGGAGCACATTTACACCATAAAATGAATGCTGTTTGACACCATTTTAACCACCATGACTCAAGCAATGGAATCATGGGAGTTGTAGTTTTGAAAAGTCTTTAACCTTCTCTGCCAAAAAGTGCATGAACCTCTCCGAACTACAACTCTGACAATTCCATAGCTTTGGGCCGTGGAGATTAAAGTGCTATCAAACTGCATTTATTCTATAGTGTAAATGTACCATTAATTTTTGTTTCATTATCTACCACTTTTTGTGACACCCACTTGCTGCCTTGCTGCAAGTTTTATTCACATGCACAAATAACTATTTTTTAATTTACCAAGGTAGCAAGCAATAAGCCATTTCATGTAAAATAAGCAGAATGGACCAACATGTATACATTTCTTACCATTCCTCTTCTTGATTGTATTTTCTTGAGTAACTTACAGTTCACAGGTGTTTCTGTAAAAAAAAGTAAAGAACATTTTCAAAAAATCTCTCATTTTGTCACTGGGCATAATTATCTCAATATTTCATTAACCTGGTATCACAGATTTGAGGGCTGAAGGATGGTACATTTGAGAGATGGTCATTTGTTCAATGTTACCTTCTGATTTTGGAAAGAGACAGAATGTTAAGCAGCACAAATTGCAATGTTGCAGTTCTGTCTAAATTTAGTCAGAATCAGCTTTTATTGGCAAATTATAAACAACAAAAATCCTAGTATGAGAAGCCAGACTCGAAATCCTCTGAATTCTCTTCTGTGCTCACCAACATTTTATTATACAACATTCAAAATGGACAGAATGTGGTGTTTTTTTTAAAAGAAAAAAGCTTATGCATTCTAATATTGTAATGTAGTGTAATAAACAATATAACTGATCAGTTCCAAATTCAAAACTTTGCAAAACTTCCTTCACTTAATGAAAGAGGGTGTCTCAACAGATTGAGAAATTCCACCCAAGGAATCACTAGCTGCCACAAGGAGACTCGCCTTCAGTGTGAATATAAGGCATGTGGTGCTTTTTTCCCAGAGTTTCTGGCATTCATGAAAGAAGATTTCTTTACAAAACTAGTGTGTACTGTTTACCTGGCAAGTGGGAAAGGACTGGCTGGTGGATTAAAAGGATTGAAACAACTCACCCAAGCATTCTGAGTTGCAAAAGTCCATGCAAAAGTATAGCATCTGCTATATTTTAGCTATGTACAATCAACCTTCCACATTCACCAGGGCTAGGTGCATATTTCAGAGAGAGATGTAGTTTTTGAATTGAGTAAAAAAGTAGAAAGTAGAAAAAAGAACACTTAAAATTTACTTTTTATTTTATCTAAGTGAACACATCTCGATGAATCTCTAGATCTTTTAGTGCAACTATGGTCAGCTTTTGCCAGAAGGAAAAGCATAGAGCATTCTGCATCACCCTCTTTTACCCATAACAATGCCCTTCCCAACACCTTTTCAATAAGTTTTATCAAATTCAGTGATCAATTCAAGTCGTCCACTGGTACACCATATTTTGGAGTGATCGATCACCAGCACTATATGATGCATATCGCTATTTTTATCAAGTAAAATAAAAATGAAAATATCAGTAGCTGAATGCATGTGATCCCAAGCCTTGGATCACATCAGACGTACATTAAGACACAATAATCATTCTCCCAAATTTGCAATCTAGAAGGCTCTTAAAAGCCCATAGAGCCTGAATGCAATAGCCCAGTCTGGTCTTCTTATCAGCTATTACTAAGCTTACTGAGTGTTGATCCTGAAAGCAATTTTAAGTCCTACCCATCAGTCTGAGGTGATTTTTTTTTACTCTGAGCTTCCCAACAGGGCACAACAATAAACACAAATCTACGTTGAAAGATTTGTGTGTGTGTACCGAGTGTCTTTATGGTTTAGCTGTCTTTGTGGTTATAGTTGCTCCTCTGTTGTTGTAGACTAATTACAAGTAATCATTTTACAGCCTATTCAGAAGGAAAGACAACAACCAGAAATGGCACTACTCACATTGTTATCCTAGGCACAGCCCCTTGGATTCAAAGGAAAGAATTTCCACTCTGGCTGGAGAGATTTCAATGGCAAAATATATATAGAATGGCAAAGGACCCTGATCACTTTGTCTCAGCAGTGGCTGTGGTTTCTTTCCAAAAAAGGTAATGTGTTTTGTAACAGTTTCACACAGGTAATGAGCTAAGTTAATACATGCTTGGGCATATATTCTAGTTTTCCTATATATCAGTCCTTATCTTTATGGCACCTCTTTAGTAAAGTGCTGACTTCACACTTCAATATCTGATTTAGTTTTTAGGTCCATCTTGGCTGCTGAACTTTAATCTCAAGAATTTTCACCTCAAGGATGTATATGAGGGCCGCCTTCTCTTAACCAAATAAGTACATAAACTTGTGCCCTTCCTCCATCCCAAATTCCATTGCAAGGAGAGAAGAAAAGGTAGGCCCAGAAACAGATGGAAACCTTCCCTTTCAACTGCCTCTGTCCTGGTTTTAGACATAGAGAAGAAGAGGCAAGCACAACACCATCATGCCTGGCCCTCTTTTCATTCCAGCTGTCACTGCCCTGGCCTCAGAGGGAGAAACAAAGAGGCAGGAACAGCTCCGTAATACTTAGGCCCAGAAATAAGTGAAATACCTTGCCTCCATCCCAACTGCCACTGGCCTGACTTCAGAGGGAGAAAAGGAAAGACAGGCACAGCTCTATCTTATCTAGAACAAGAAGAAGAATGGCTCTCCTTCCATCCCAACTGCTACTATCTTTGCCTTGGAGAGAGAAAAAGAAGCAGCCAAATCTGCTGGACCTAATACTCTCTTCCACTGCCTTTCCTTTTCCATTGTATGTTGCTTATTTAAATTGTAAGCCCGAGGAGGGGAAATTGTTATAACAACAATTTGTAAGCCCCTCTGAGAGCCTTTATAGATGAAGACATTGTGTAACAGAAACATGGAAATATGGAAGTAGTTAATGATATCCTTGGGAATGTGCAAAGTGTCAGTGTTTTATGTAGTGTGTGTGACTGTTGTTTTATAGTTTAATAATTTTAATAATGTTAATGGTTTCAATCTATTGTCATTGTTGTTGTTTTGATATGTGTTGTTTTATACATGTAAGGCATTGAATTTTGCCATTGATTATGTTGGGAATCGCTTTGAGCCCCCCTAGGGGTGAGGAAAGCGGTATGTTGTTTATTCGTTCAGTCACTTCCGACTCTTCGTGACCTCATGGACCAGCCCATGCCAGAGCTCTTCTCCCAAGAAGTAAACATCTTCTCCCAAGAAGTAAACATCTTCTCCCAAGAAGTAAACATCTTCTGATTTCCTGGCTACAGTCTACATCTGCAGGAATCTTTGTAACTAGAAATACAAAGTCTGTCACTGCCTCCCCATTTTCTCCCTCTATTTGCCAGTTATCAATCAGTTTGGTTGCCATAATCTTGTTTTTTATGTTTAACTTCAACCCAGCTTTTTCTTTTTTCACCTTGGTTAGAAGGGTCCTCAGCTCCTCCTCACTTATTTATTTTATTTATTTATTTACTATATTTGTATACCGCCCTTCTCAGCCCTCAGGCAACTCTGGGCGGTTTACAGAGGCAACAATTCATGCCCAAAGCACCATAAAACATTACTATATAATATAAAACCATCACAAAAGCAATACAAACATAAATCATTTGTGTCTCCTAATTAAACATTGTCCAATCTCATCATCCAGTCATTCCATATTCCTATGTCTATTAYATTGCATTTTAAACTCTTGCTCAAACAACCAAGTCTTAGCGATATTTAAGTGCAATAAATAAATAAATAAATCATGCTATGAATAAATAAAGCAAGCCACAATTATATTCGTAAATGCAACTGGAATGGGGGGGGGGGGTCTATCTAGAGTCCTTGTGCTTTCTTCAACCTTTTTTCTACTGTAATTAAATCCACATTAAAATGAATGAGAGTCTCACCCTGTCTGCATTTATGATAAGAGCCTTCGAAAATGTGCAGAAGTGTATCAAAATATGATAGAAGTGAGAAGGATAAGAAGGACAAAGAGGAGGAGGAGCAGGAGAGATAGAGTGAAAGAGGACTCTTGAGTTGTTAGTTCAATAATATTTCTGTTCATCTTTTTCTAAAAGCATTCCAAACACAGAATTGAAGGAAACTGAATTTAGATGCATTCTTATTTAGGATCATGAGACTGGTAATCAAGTTGCAACCCATGATCCTTTGACAAATTATGTAGAATGTGTATTTTCTCATTGACGCAAGTTTCATATGCATCCCTTCTATTTTCTGTATGATGACAGCAATGTGAAATGTTCTTCAAAATCAAAGAGTGTCCTGCTGTAATGAATTTGTAAACAGCAACTCTGAAGTAATAATTTAACATCCTACCTACTAAAAATCTCTTCTAATCTGGCAAATGGCATAACATAATTAAAATAGTAAAAAATGAAATGCTGGGGTTAGGACCTGAAAGATCCTGTTACAATCAAGTGTTTCAAGGGGTCTGTGGAACTGCAGCCATCAAACTCAATGCAATAGGATAGAATGTGTAGGTTATATTGACAGTTGCATTATTGTAAATCAATATCCCATATGACTAATGGTTGAGATGGGACTTCATAATTTGTGATACCCAAAACTTTCACCAGCTTTATATAGCTATTACAATAAATATTTATTTAACAGTCAGTTATTGGCTCCTGGACAGCAGACTTATTATAGTAAGAAATCTACATTTCTGTTTCAACTRCTACTATATAACAAGTATTTGCAAATTAGTCATTTCTCCATATTTAAGAAACCTGTGCTCAACTTTTCTGGTGATAGATTCCCCCCCCCCCCCCCCCCCCCCCCCCCAATTAAAAACACAACTAGATGGCTGCATAACCAGATTATTCACAAYYGATTGGGCAATTGTATGAACTGTTCCTTCTGTACTGGAACAGTTTGTGAACAAAATATAGTAACAGGATTCAGAATATTCATAGAATGTCTTGTTATTCAGTGTCGTAAATGAACTATTTTTTTTCTAATGATAAAAATAGAAAGCATTTCCATTGCCTATTGTACCTTCAACTCGGTTCTACCGCCGCAGATTATGGACAGAATGCTGTTAATGCATTACCGGAGGGTTTGCATTTTTGCCCAGGATTGTGCAGAAAGTACAAGGAAAGATGGGCAAAATATTTCAGAGTCAAACCATTGGAAGTGCAACTATATTTAGCATGTAGAGAGTCACATTTTATCTTAAGATACATCTACAATTTAGAATTAATGCAGTTTGACACCAATTTCAGTGAATGGCTCAAAGCTATAGGATCATGGGAGTTCTAGCTTTATAAAGTCTTTAGCCTTTGCTAAAGACTACTTAGTTATCAAGTCCAGTATGGTTATTCAACAATAATTAAGGATTTAGTTAGTTATCTGGACTTAGTTATTAGGTCCAGTATGGTTCAAAAACAATTAAGGATTTTGGGAAGAGGTTTTTCCAAGCCAAGTTTGTATACAAGATGATAGGAATTATTCCAGCATAAGTGCAGATCTGTGGAATATCAAATCAGTTCCATAAAGATTTTGTTCATTAACAGATCAGATTTTGAGAGGCCCATTATTGTGCTGAAATCCAAAAAGTCCTGAGAGAAGTTGAGATCTCAGTCTAATGATTTTGTAATATCCCTAAAATGTTCTCTCTCATGCATTCTCTTTTCCACACATCCACACACAGACCTTTGTATCTTCAAATAAGCTTCCTTCTTTGGTGCTTTGACCTCTTTCCACAGCACATCAGGAGAGGTAGATTAGATATGAATGGTTCCGTACTTTTCCATTTCCTCTACTAAAAACTTGGCTACAATGAAAGAAAGACATGCCTAAGTTTTCCAGCCTGTAGCCCCCAGCTACATGTTGTACTTATTTATCTTTCTTCTGAGAAGGTGTACTCTATCTGGGCATTTTCTCCATTGGGCAATAAGTTAAGCACAGAGGACACTCATTTAAATCAATAAAACAATGTAGGAAAGCATTTGACAAAAATAATGGCCTTGCCATTATGGCCACCTGAACAAGCCAGACCAGCTGGATTGGCCAAAGGGAACCGGCCCAAACAAATCTGTGCACAATCCTAGTGGAAAGCCATACCACTGTGCCACCAATTGATAACTTTCAAGGCTACCCACTCCCTTGCCACTCTGGAGGAAACATGGCCACTGTCACTGCAACAACCCAAAGTTAAACCTCTTTGGACATTTCCTTGCATCTGAAAAAGATGGCCTATGTTTTTGCTAAAACTGTATTTGTTGCCACTGTGTCATCATATGCTGTACCCATCAAGTCGAACCTTACTAGGCCTATTCTCATTCCCTAGCTTTTCATTGTTGATGATTAAGGAACCAGTGATTGATGTATCATGATGTTTGAGTATGTTTTTAGAAAATTTAAGCGACATATATATTGGTTAATGTTTGATTGAATGCTGTGCTCCCCTCTTTCTCAAAGAACACTACATTTCCCACTAGGGAGTTCTCTTATCTTTGTGCTATAGGATTTATTGATTTCTTCTACAGTAATGGCAGTATGCCATTAAAAAAACTATTACCATGTTACTTTTGTTAGGCAAGGATTTGCAAGATAGACATAATAGGTTTATATAACATATGGGATCCTGTCTTCATAATATAATGTTCTGTTATGCTAGTTTAGTTTTCTTTTTCAGGTGTGTGCACCCCGACAGGGGGAAGGCAGAAAAATTGTCATTGGGAAATGGAGTCTGAGCAGCTCAGCAACTTGTAAGCAATTTTGTTTTCTTGCTGTGGAAGTTTTCCTTTCTGCTTCACACTGTCACCTTTTGGCTACTTTGCTTTTACCACATTCACCTTCACTTTCATCACTACCTATGTCAATGTAGCAATTGCCCAGAATAGATTATGTTCTTTCTGTTCTTGAAATTTACATTTTAACACATTTTGATTATGTAATACATGAAACAAAGAACTATGCACTATTTCATGTATTTATGTTTATGCATACTCATCTACACAGTGTACAAAACTGTGAAGATAACATATATATAGTGGATACATGCTATCCACTGTCATTTGCTTTTAGGATCCCCTTATGAATATCAAAATATATGGATGCTAAAGTTTTATTTATAGGCAGTGGCATCATAAAATTGTGTCTATTATATAAAATAAAAATCAACTCAAGATCTGTGATGCACCTACACATCAGTGTGGTACTTAGAAGATGGTAAGATACAGTTTTGCTTTTTGGATTTCTTTCTGAATATTTTGAGTTGTGGTTGGTTGAATCTGTGGATTCAGAATCTGGAGATACAGAGGGTAAACCAGACACATTTCAAAGATTCGACAAAGGTCAAAGTTTGATGTTCAACAGCTCTAAAATGTGTACTATTTTGTTTTTGTAATAAACATCAATTCCTGAAAGCAAGATAAGAAGTAAAGCAAGATAAGTAAATTTAAATAGCAGTTAAGATAGAAAACAGGCATTGTTCATAAAGATAGGTCTGAATGAAGCAAATGTCAATTACGTAGATAATAGCTTAGTTCACTTTTTGCATATATGCAGTGTCATGCTACACATTCTTACTGCCCAAAAAGGAAAGGAGAAGGACCTGAATGATTTTGAAAACTAACATTGACAAAGTCTGGCAAGTCAACACCGCAACATCTCAGTTGCAAAATCTTGTAGCAATTTTATTGCAATGGTGAGGAAAGAGAAGCGTAACAGGAAATGAGGCCACACACAGATGAATCTGTTTCACTCCTAATTTTATTTACTAGCAGAGATTAATTGCACCTCTTCCCATTGTTGTATCAGTTTATTTCTTTTTAAAAACACAAACATTCACATGCATTTTGTAGTTTTGCTTAATATGCACATTTTTTGTTAGATGAGACTTTTTCCTACAATATATGGCCTTACGGAATAACCTTTTATTAGGGATGTGCTAAACTTCAGTTTTAATTTGTTTTTCAGATCTAATATGACAAAGTGATATTAAGAAACACAAGGAGTGGCCATGCAAAAAAAAAATGTAAGATTTTTCCCCAAAATGAGGGAGGCAGTGAGGGAGGGAGAGATGCTTGGCTGCTGTGTCAGACTGGATGAGAGCTAACAAATTGAAATTGAATCCAGACAAGACAGAGGTCCTACTGGTCAGTCGTAAGGCCGAACAGGGCATAGGGTTACAGCCTGTGTTAGATGGGGTTACACTCCCCCTGAAGACGCAGGTTTGCAGCTTGGGAGTGATCCTGGACTCATCGCTGAGCCTGGAATCCCAGGTCTCGGCGGTGGCCGGGAGAGATTTTGCACAATTAAAACTTGTGTGCCAGCTGCGCCCATACCTTGGGAAGTCGGGTCTGGCTACAGTGGTCCACGCTCTTGTTACATCCCGATTAGATTACTGCAACGCACTCTACGTGGGGTTGCCTTTGAAGACTGTTTGGAAACTTCAACTAGTCCAGCGGAAGGCAGCCAGACTGCTCACTGGAGCGTCATACAGGGAGCATACCACCCCCCTGTTGTGTCAGCTCCACTGGCTGCCGATCCAGTTCCGAGCACAATTCAAAGTGCTGGTTTTGACCTACAAAACCCTATACGGCTCCGGCCCAGTGTATCTGTCCGAACGGATCTCCCTCTACGTCCCACCCCGGAGTCTAAGATCTTCTGGGGAGGCCCTGCTCTCGACCCTGCCTCTATCACAAGTGAGGTTGGTGGGGACGAGGAGCAGGGCCTTCTCGGTGGTGGCCCCTCACCTGTGGTTTTGTACATTATGTGTAATTTGTATAAGCATCGAATTGTGCCTTTTTGTAAGCCACCCTGAGTCCCCCCTCGGGGGTTGAGAAGGGCGGGGTAAAAGTACCCAAAATAAATAAATAAACAAATAAATAAATGCTTGGCTAAATGGCCTGGCACAGAAGAAGCCCCTCCACATATAGTTGGTCCAGAGAGAGAGAGGGACAGAGACCACCTTCACATTTGCAAGCAAAATTCTGGGAAATGTAGTTTAGGAAGGGCCTAAATATTCTCTGGTGCTGCTAACCTGGAGACAAAGAAGCATCTGCATTTTAAAAGTAGCTTCTCCAACTTGTAGAGAGAAGTCCAAGCCCTTTAACATAGAAAGCAAGCAGAATTCTGGGAAATGTAGTTTAGGGCAGGGCCTTTTGAATTCTCTACCACAGAGGTCCTTGCCTTACCAAACTTCATTTCCCAGAATTCTGCTTATTCCCTTGTGGTGCCACCTCCTCCTCCTTTTTGTTCATTCTCTAAAGGGATTTTGAGATAAAAAGGGACTTTTCGGAGTTGAATCAACCCTTTGAGGAAGGCAAAATTGTGAAGCAGTAACTCCAAAGTTTACTATTCTTGTTGTTGTTATTTCAAAGGTTGGATGAGAATCTGTTGGAGGTGGTTTGACTGGCTGGCAGAAGGGGGCCGGACTTCCCTCCTTGTGCAATTACTTAACAAAAAGTAACGAAGAATTGGTTATATCGTTTTAGTTACAAAACAGCCCCTTAATGATAATTTAGAAACACTTTAGAAATGATTCTCCCCACACCCCTAATTTAGTAATGAGTATCGAAACATTTTCTTTCATTGATCGCACAGGCCTGCCTTCTAAACATAAGATGGAGAGGTGATCCTAACATAAATACATGCCTTTTGTATACAGCTTCACCCAATGTAATAATAATAATAATAATAATAATCCTTCCTATCTTCCCAAATGGATTCAACATACATGTGTTTGTAAACAGTCTTCAATAGTGTACACATTTTGTAGCGATTTTTGACCATAAAAAACTTCATGTATTAGTATGTTTAAAATATTTTGGTTCCTATTCAAATTCATAGAAATATATTTCGCTCTAACCCAGAAATGAGTAAGCAACAAAGAATTTCCGGCTCCTTTGATCAATTTGCAAAGTAATATTCAGAATAACAAATGTGTCTCCTGGTGCTCATTTAGAAATACTGAACTAAGATAAGATTGCATACTCATGGAACTACAAAATATCTTGCAGTGGCATGGGCATTTTTGGAAATGCATAGAGGCCACATGGCACTGTCAGTATATGAGGGCCTAACAATGGAAATTAAGAAAACCATGGAATTAATAAGGGAAACTCAAATTATTACGTTTCATTTCTCCTACACAGACACTTCATCAGAAGCAGCCAAAAATTGCTTCTTAGGGGACAGATAGATCCAGAACATTGGCTTGGATGTGATATATGACAATTTAGCTACAGGGTTGGTCCGTCAATTGAGAATCTGGTCCGTCAATTGAGAATCTGGTGAAAACCAACTAACTATCTTTCAGCATGATATACCATATGCTATTTGGAGTCTTCTTGTTGTTTCTTCAACTGTTCTTAATAAATATCCCGCGGATCTTCCACTGTAGGACTTGTGGACAATATAAAGGATTTTCAGGAATCTCCCAATCAAATGCAGACAATGACCATACTAGAATAAATCCAGCAAGGTTACTCTGTCATTTGTCTTTTGATCATTATCTAGTAATTAAAATAAGGCAAAGAAAGCACATGTTTTCATGATTTTTTATTTGTGATAAATTTTCTAGGATTCCACAACACTGAAAATTAAAAACTACATGTTAAAGTAATATCAAAGGATGAAGCCATACAGTAGTGCTTAATAAAATATTTCATGAAAAGCCCTCAGTTGGGTAAGTGGATTATATGCCTGAGAAAATACATCTTCATGTTGTAAAAGGCCTACTAACTTATCTCAATGGGAACATTGTTCTGCATGGTGAATGTCCCAATAGAAAAGTTATTCCTCCACATCAAGACGTTCAGATATCAGCCAGCATGCCAATACCT